AGAGAGAGAGAGAGAGTGTGTGTGTGTGTGTGTGTGTGTGTGTGTGTGTCCATATAGGGAATGAATAGAGATCCTCTATTACCTTTGAACCAATGCTTTGAAGTCTGGAATCTAAATCACATAGCTAAAATGAGTATGTTATTTATGTAGCACTTTCATTATGCTTAGGCTGCCCAAACATTCTGATTCACATATATAATGAATAACAGCAAAAATGCATAAGGTAGTTTCTATAAATAACAACTTTTGGAATCACATTCAGAACATTTTTGAACATATGGAGAGAAAGCCTCTCTGGTCTTATAAAAATAAAGTTAAAATACAAGGTGAGTTTTCATTATACAAATTATGCCGCAGTGTTAAGAATCCTAAATTATTTTATTGAATGAAATTATTTTTAGGAGGATTGTGTAAGAATAGTAGCAAATTACTATCAAATAAAAGCAAATATATACATATATATACAAAACATTATTTGTAGGAATTAGGGTCAGCTTTGCAAACCAAGTAAAAAATGAAAAACGAAATGAGCAAAATTAATGTTTGAAAATCTCTGAAATCCCTCTAAATGTACAGTATATGTGGTTTATTTATAGAACCCATGTGGTAAAATCTGAGGACTGATCTAAATTAAAAGAACAAAGGTAAAATATTACATAAATATTTGGCTGCTCATGCCATGTTGTCTTTAGCTTTTTTTCACCCTTTGATGGTACGGGGGTTTGAACTTAGTGGGGAAGTCTTCATGTGTATATATACTATGGAACTCAAAGAGACTCTGCCTTTGGAATAATAAATGTGTCTAACATGACTAGCAATTTAAAATTCCTTAAACAATGTATTTACCCTTTTGGTATCTCTCAGAAAGAGAAAAGATAAATACACTTGTGTGACTTATATTTCAAGTTTAAATCAGTAACCCCAATTTCATATTGTGATATCTGCATACCCTATCGTCACATTAAATTCAGTATACTCAAAACCAAGGAAATTACTTTTTGCTAAATCTCTATATTCTACCACAGTGCTCAAGGACTCCATTCTCTATTAGTAGGACTTAAAAAAAAGATATTGATGACCAAATATTCCAAACTAGGAAACTTGGCTGCTTCTTGATCCTTTTTCTTATCCAACTGTAAATTTCACTAGGATATCTTTCAAATTCACCTCCACTATAGTCACAATCCTAACCAGGGTATGCATTATTTGGCTGTTCTATTACTGAAATTGTTTCCTAAACTAACTCTTATCAATTCATCATGAATACTGTTGCCTGAGATATCTTAAAATACCTCTCTTATTATGTCAATCTTCAGTTCAGAACATGAAGTGGTCATCCATCATTTATTGTGTCAAACTGGAATGTTCCTCCTGAGTTTTTAAAGTGATTCCCTTTCCTCTATATAGCATACAAAATATTTTTCTCAACGAGGTGACTAATAATGAAGTCACAGGCAAGTATCTTTTAAAATTTCGATTTTTGCTAGTAGTCTTGTGTATAAATGAACATATAGCCCAGCCAAACGTCTCTATTGATATTGTATTGGTATTTTTCCTGTCAGTTTAGTATCTATGATAGAAACATTATTCAAAATCATCATCCTTGACAAACGGCTAAGTTTGTAAGTTAAAAAAAACATAATTAGCTTTCTAAAAGGCTTTTATGTTTGCTATAAGAAATCTTATCAAATTAAGAACTGCGATTTTAATTTTGGTTCTTTTTTTTTGTGTGTGTGTGGCTATACTGGGGTTTGAATTCTAGTCTTCACACTTGCCAGGGCAGGCACTTTACCACTTGAGCCACTCTACCAGCCCTTTCTGGTAGAGATAGGGTCTCACAAACTGTTTGCCTGGGCTGGCTTCGAACCTCGATCCTCCTGATCCTCTGCCTCTCAAATAGCTGAAATTTGGGGCGTGAGCCACCAGGCCTGGCTTAATTTTTTTAATTTAAGATAACTGTTTTAACAGAATAACAGAACCTATAAACAAACTACTTTGGTATTCTAAATAAAAATCGTTAATTTTTAATTGCTGATTTTAAAAATATTTTAGTAACTGTTATGAGGAGGATAGCAATAAACACTATCAATTACACATGTCAGGTACTTATGTGCCTTTCATGAGTTGCTAATTTATTTTTAAATTATTTTCTGGCAATATCAGGGGTTTAAACTCAGGGCCTCACACATGCTAGGCAGGTGCTCTACTTCTTGAGCCATGCCTTGAGCCACACCCTCAGCTCTCTGTCCTCTGGTTATTTTGGAGACTGGGTCTTGCTATTTGCCCAGGCTGGCAGGGACCACATTCCTCCTATTTTATGCTTTCAGCTATTGCTAGGATGACTGGTGTGTGCCACAGTGCCCAGATACTGGTCAATATGGGGGTCTCCCAACCATTTTGTCTAAATTAGTCTCAAACCACGATTCTCCTCATCTCAGCCTCACAAGTAGCTGGGATTACAGGCATGACCCACTGGCCCCAGGCTTGAGCCACTGGCACCAGGGTTGCTTTGGTTATTTTTTGAGATAAAACCTTGCTTTATTGCCCAGGATGGCCTGACTTTGATCCTCCTATTTTATGCTTCTGTCACTGAGATGACAAGTGTATGCCACTACACCCAGCTTTTTGTTGGCTGATAGGAGTCTCACAAACTTTTTGCCCAGGCTGGCCTCAAACCATGATTCTCCCAATCTCTGCCTTCCAAGAAGCTAGGATTAATGGTTTGATCTATGGATCCTGGCTTTAACTAATTTAATTTTTAAAAACAGTCCTAGAGTAGTCCCTTTCTTCGCAATTATTTTACAGATGAAGCAACTGTGGTAAAGTAAATCTAAGTTCCTTGTCCAATTAGCTTCATAGATAGAATTCTTAACAATTATAGTACCTAAATGCTATACAATATAGCAGCTAGTATTTTTTACTTAAAAAGTAAAAGAGAGGTAACATTTTCTGATAAATTATTTCTAAGTATAGTACATCAAACATGAACCTATTTTTATAATATATCTCAAGATAAAACATTTACAGAAGACTAGGTAAAAGCAGTCTCACATGTAAACACTTTTTAAGATTAGAGAGAATCAAATACAAAAATATATTTAAGAAAGAACTACAGAATAAAATAAAACATAAGAGCTATCATAATAGCAGTATATATTTCTAGTATATTTGCTGGAGATGTTTCCAACCAATATCACAGCACATTAAATAGTCAACTAGTAATCTGAGAGGTTAGTGTCTTGCTAACATATTATGGGAAAAAGTATACCTCTCAGCTTCAGAATATATGTACCCTTAGACATGGGATCTGTCTACCCTTAGCTAGTACGGATTTGTGTTCAGACACAGTCTGCCCTGTTTCTTTCCTCATGAGGCTTCTCTTGGTTTTACTACATTAACTTTTGCCTCTAAGGACCCAACTACCATCATATACTCTCCACGAAATTGAAAAGTTCTGTATTTTATGCAAAGGAAGAAACAAAAGTTGAGTGGCACAGTGAACAGCTGCTACGTGCTTCCTATTTATCAAAGTCCAGGAAAGCAGTGGGAGAATAAATCATCTAAGATGTAACACACATAGAATAACCAAATGCATTTCTTCCTCCAAATCTGCAACTTCTTCTCTATCCAGTAATAGTGCCATTTCTAGCACAAGTCTCAAGCTTTATCCCTTTCCTTCAATGACCAATTACAGGAATACTGAATCAGAAGTAAACTCTTATAAAGTCTTATTTCAGAACATTCTTTTGATTTCTGTATCTCAGCTCCACTGATTAACAGCTCAAATTTCATTTCTTATCTGGACTATAACTCAATCCTTAAACCATATATCCCCTTCCTCCTAAAATGCAGTTCCACATTGCCACCGGAAGTTTATTTATAAGACAGTTACATTACTCCTCTCCCTCACTAAAGAAATTTCCAAATTCGTAAGAAAAAGTATACAAGTTCCAATAGCCTCAACAGTGTGCAAAGAGTTATAGCTGAAATAAAACATGACAATGAAGTAGCTGCTGCTTACAGATGTTCAGTTATTCCAAGTTGAGAACCTCACTGAAAAGAGCTAACAATTACAGGCTGAGATGTAATGAAATAATTGAATAAAGTACTAATCCTATTTTAGGCATGTATTTCTCAAAACAATTAAGGATTTAAAAAAACAATGGCTAATGAGACTATATATATTTTCAGCTACATTGAAAAACATATTTGACATTTAATAAATGAAAGAAGAGATAATTGTTGAGTAAAACCCAGTGAGAAAAAGCTAAGCCTTAAATTCTTTATACATTTGGGCCACATGATTAAGCACGAGTATGAATTTTACAGAATTCTGTAAAACTCTTAATTCCTTTCAAAAGATGAAGATCTATACATAAATTTATTCACGGAACATGAGCTATTTTACTAACAATTTCTAAGCCATGCTAAAGCCATAGAAACACTCAACTGAATTCAAGTACATCAGAAATGCAGTTCAGAAAAGTCAAGAATAACTGCCATGCCAGAAATTGTCTATGTCAGTGACAATGTTAGTTCATTTAAAGTGGACTGGGAAAAAAAATCTTAGATGAAATATTTACATTTGCAAATACATTTCCTGATATTTAGTTAACTACACAGTAAACTACTATTTTCTTAAATTTATATAATCACAAATTACTGGTAGTGAACAGCAAGGCAGAAAATGCTAAATAGAGGTACATATGTATTAGATATGTGTGTACGATCTAAAGGAGACACATAAAGACATGAAGTGATTACATGACCTTAGAAACACTGGAGTATAAAAGAGGAGAAAGAAGCATACACTACCATCTTAACTGTCTTAAATTTAAACATGGAACTGTTCCAGTACCAGGAAAAATCTCCTAGAATACAAGTAGATAATGAACTCAGAGTATCTTGTTTCACTTTGATTAAAAAATAAAGAATGCCAAACATTTCTAACGAAAAAGTAAATTCATAAAGAAGAGAATAAAAAGCTCATATTCAATTACCTTTTCTAACTTTTTGGCCTCAATGTGTCGAAGTACTTGTTCTCTCCAATCATGAGGAACTTTACTTTTTCCTGGAGGATCTAATAAAGAATGTTCAGAACCAACCCTTGCATTTGGTCTTTTTGAAGGACTAGTCCGTGAATAACTGAAATCACTAACTGACATAGTTCTCTCTGGTATTTCATTAATAGAAGGTCGAGCACTCTGAGGCCTTGATGCATTTGGACCATCAATACTGTATGTTCGTGCGGAAAGAGGTCTCTGTGATCCTGATATCACTGGAGGAGTTCTTCCCACTGAATGTAAATCTCTATATGATAAATAATCTCCTTCAGGTATTTGGGCACGCCTTGTGGGACCTCTATCACTAAGATTTATAGAGGCTGTCGAGGACACGCTATTTTGTCGCTGAACTGTAGTTCGAGTTACTGCAGGAACCAGTCGATCATCATTTGGTGAGATGGCCCACATTTCTCCATGTCTTGCTGGGCCAAGTCTCTGATGTAAATGGTAAGAAGTATTAGCTCTAACATTGTTATGGTTAGAGAAATTCATATTGGCAGAATGTTTAGCATAATTGTGATTTTCTGTGCTTTCTGATCGAGGAAAGCGCTGAGGAGGAAAGCTGACAGGATCTATTTGGGGACTCTGTTTGGAGTGCCACAAAGTGTCTTTGACTGAAGCACTGCTGCTATACTGGATATTATATTGTGGAGGACCATATATTTGAGGTGTAGATTGTGGGCCACTTACTGTGGGGGCTCTTATTATATCTGCCTCTTCAGGATTATGATTTGAATCAAACTTAAAAATTGCCTTTGTACCTGATATTAAATCAGAAGAAGAAGAAGAACCAGTAAATACTTGCAATGGTTGATCATACAACAATGTGGCAGACTTGCTCCTTACTATATTTTTCCCATCAATAGCAGATGTGATTTTAACTGTTGTGCTTGGCTGCTGAGGTCCATTATCACTAAGAATGTCATAAATTTTTAACCCTCCAGTCTCCATATTAGTTATGCTATGTGATTTCACAACAGATCCAACTGGACCACTTCTCTGAGGGGAGAGATCTTCAGTACTCTTAGAAAAAGCCATGTCGACAGAAGAACTGGTGTCTTGTGGTTCAATCCTCTTAGGAGACTGTGAAGTTTCCTCAGAATGACCATTTACCTTACTTACAGATTCCAGATTAGGATATTTATTTCCATTTTCCAAGTGTTCAGCTTCCCTTTTAGAATTACTGCTTAAAAAGTCTGTTCCATGCCCTATGTCCCGTGTCTTTGATCTTTCCATCATTTCTGGTTGAAATGTATCATTAGTTACAAGTTTATTAACATTCATGTTGATATGGTCTAACTTGTGAGATTCATCAGACATGGCTGTTGAGTCAACATCTTTCTCAATTAGAACTAATTGCTCTTCAATATTCAAATCATACTGAGGTAAGCTAAAATCTTTTTTACCATGAACCTTGAATTTTTCCTCTGGTGAATTGTTTAAAATATCTCCATTTTGTAAAAGGCTGTTAAAATTTTCATCTTCTTGCCTAAAATAGAAATAATTTTATGAAAAAGTAATAAAGCCAAGTTTTCTTGGTAATAAGGAACCATTACTACTACTTAATGTATAGGTAACACAAGTTAAAAGAGCTAACAGAACCCCAGATGAAAGGTATTTATAATCAAGCATGCAATTTTAAAATACTACCTGCATTACAGTTTATACATGTATCAAAAGGTCACCATACCCCTTTAATATGTATAATTTTCATGTTTTTATATATTAAAAATAAATTTAAATGAAAAATGAACTTAAGTCAAGTAAATAGGTTTTATATTAAATTGAACACAAGTAAAACTAAAACTCATTAATATCAAGATTAATTTCTTCAATATACTCAATCTGATTTGTTACAAAAATCATTGAATTGGGCTAAACTATAAGCAAAAGTGGAATTATGTTATCTTTTGCTCTATCTTTTCACAAATGTGTTAGAAAATGAAATGCTTTAAGATTGGCAGATAGGTGGAGAAGAAGATAGTAACGTGATATAGTGAAGGACACAGAACATTTTGATCTAAGGCCTTACGATATTAATCATATCACCCATTGTTAACAATATTAACTAAGCAGTTATAAGGAAAGAACTGGAAAATCACTCTGCATTAAATATATAAATCAAAAGATAATCTAAATATGATCATTATTCTCTGTGGCTGTATTTCATTTGGTAAATACTTTATAAATGTGCCATTCCAAAATTATAGAAAATATTTTATTTCTACTTGGTGGTACACAAACATATTTGTGTACTCTTGTATTTAACTTATGTTTCCACAAATATTTAATACTGTCCTCCCCATTAGACAAAAGATAGCATTCATTATTAGAAATACAGCACAAAAAGGTATATTCCTTGTTTAACCTTTACTTCTTTATAAAAACCATGATTTATAGAATATCATACTACTTTACAACAATAAAATCAGTATAATTTTATTATTCAACAAATTAAGCATTATTTTAATACCTAAATAACTATAAAATTAGTATTTTTAAAATACTAGGGCACAGCCTAAAATTCAGAGGATAGATATAGATGATTAACTAATTATAACCACAGAATACCTAAAATTCATTTTAGGCAGAAAATTCATCTTCTGTCTACAATGGTACAAATATAATATATTTTCCTTAAATATGCCTGGAACTTAGGAATTTAACTCTAAATGATAGTTTAAACTATCTGTACAATCAGCATTAAGTTCTATAGCTACTCTCAAGCAGACTCTGGCCTATAGATTGAAACAAGGTTGAATGGTAAGGTCTTGGTTTGATCTTAGTTTTATAACCAAATTTCTTAATAGCTTAGATAATAACATTAGTTTTAAACTTCTGCTAAATTCCAGGCTATGGAAATTAACATTTACATTTCTCTGAGGGTTTATCATTCAAAATTAAGTGTATGCCAAATACATAAGCACCAGCCCTTACTGAAAAAATGTTCAATCATTTCATCAAGAGATTAAGAATCTACTTTAATCTTTTCTTCCCTACTTAAAAACTTTTAAAACTGGAAATTTATAAACTAAATATTCAGTTAGTTGTAAAATGGAGGAAGAAAACATTATTGCCCAAACCACCTCTATAATACTATTTGGGAAACTCTTTATGTTTAGTCATATATTTATTATTTACCTTATTAATTCTACTTATTATACAAGTAAATAATTTTGTTCCAATGTTCACGAACCTGATTTTGGAATTAATATCAATATGAGTCTGTTTCAATGGGGAGCAGAGTGAGGTGTCTTGACTACTATCAGTATTAAGAGAAACTGAATCGGACATCCGAGATGGAGAAGAACAGTTGCTGTTATTCTGATTGCTATTGTGTGTAACTTCATCTGATAAAGAATCTGTATCCTTTGCATCATCTGAAACAACAAAAATTTTAAGACCAATGATAAATTCAACAAAACTTATGGGACATGCTTTATAGTGATGCCAAATGGCATTTATATTGTGCTGGTTCCATACATGAGGCATAATAAATTACATGGCACCCCCAAAAATTCAGTCTTAAATACACACAAAGATTGAAAAATTTTTAAATTGTGATACCATTTTTTTAAAGTAATCAAAGTTAGGGTTACCCAGAATTTGATTTAGATTTTTGTCTTTGATGGCACTGGCTTTGAACTCAGGGTCTTGCACTTCCTAGACAGGTGTTCCACCATGTGAGCCATGCCCCAGCCCTGATTTAGTTTACTAACAACATGAAAACACTGTTTTCTATGGACATCAATTAATTTTGGCATGCTTTCTACACATTTATAATTTTTAAAATGTTAAAAATATAGTTATAGTTCACAGACTTTCTAAACTTCTCTGGATTAAGAAATTATCCTATACATATATGGAATGTTATTTCGATCTATTCTGGTAACAAAAATGAGTAATGCCATCAATACATAAATAGACAACAAACAAATCAAGAATTTTCAAAGATCAGCTCTCCTATTTCTTCATGTTTTTAAAGCATTTCATAGAATTGTTTCTAAATGGTAATCTCTCAATATGTGAGATGGTGTGTATGCAACAATTATTGTAAACAGAAACAGTACTCATATTCTTTTAAAGGCAGGAAGTGTAAAAGTATTTTCTTTTAAGAAAATCATCATAAAAGACTGTTTATAATTCAATTCCAGTCAAATCATGGAAATATAAACACATCCACTGAAGAACATAGGAGGAAGGTTGTTCTTGCCATTCTCAGACCTTAGAAGCACAACTCAAGTAGTCTTGCAATCTCAACCTCAAGGTAAATCAATCTTGGATTCTTAATTTTTAAAATAGCATTAGCTACATCCTTCTTCATTCTCCTCCTTATAGGGTTACTATGAAAATTAGATAATAACATGTAAAATATCAGCATAGTACCTAAGCAACTAGTAAGTAAAGCGCTTGACAAATACTAGGTTATCACTATCACAATCCTTATCCACCCAAGCTACCCAAAGGCTATCTTTATGACATTAAGTCAAAGGCATGGATAAAACTTTTGGTAGAGATAATGTAAAGAAAATCAGGCATTGGTGGCAAGGAATAAATGAAGAGGTAGATATCTTTCAAGATCCATTTCACTTCTAAGAAGTCTGAGTCTCTGTTACATATAAAAAACAGAGGCAGGAATTTGGGGGAGAGTAATTAAAAAATGGAGATAGATAAGAGTAAAGTAACAGTGAATATGTACTATGTATCAGATACTCTGTTAGATCTAAACACTTTCCATAATCTAGTACATTGAATACAAAATCCTGCATTAGCCTCACTGCATGTCAAATTAGCAATGTACACAGACAAAATTAACTAAGTAACCCAAGAAGAGTTAATCTGGGATTAACTGCCTGTAAGGTACATGCCCTGGCAAGTAAATCTACATGAAGTGAGAGAAAAGATCTACCAAGATCTTTCTTTAAAAATGACAAATAAGGGGATTGGTGGGATAGCTCAAGTGGTAGTTGCCTGCCTTGCAAGTGTGAGGCCCTGAGTTCAAACCCCAGTATCAATAAAAAAAAAAAGAAAAAATTGATTCCGAAATTGTTCTAAATTTTGTGCAGGCCATCTCTACTCTTAGCACTTTCCTAAAGCATCTAACCTTTTTTGTTATTACTGAGTGCTACGACTTTTGGCTGGTTAATAGAGGTTTCAATTAATGGTGGTCGCATCTCTGCCATTTTCATCTCTTCATCAGAAGAAAGTTCTTCAGATTCCTAATTTGAAGAAAAAAGGAGGAAAATATAAAAATTAAATTCTGGACTCTTTAAATGATTAAATATGATGTTATAAGAACTTCAAATGGAAAACAAATAATATTTAGAACATGTATGAAACCACATTTTTATTGTAAAATAGTTGACTAAAACTTGTATGATTTAATGTTTTTAAGATATGGCAATAAATCTAGGCTACTTACAAGAATATGATAGAGTATGTATGGGACAATTTTCTGTGGCAGGTCTTAAGTCCAAAAGTATTAATGATTACTATGTATCATGTGAAAGACAACACAAAAAACAAATCCCTACCTTTGAAAAATTCAGCTTAGTGAGAGTACCTCAAAAAAAGTCTCTCCCTAATTCTCAAATTTATTCTGGGGAGAGGTTTTTTTTTTTTTTTTTTTTTGTCTTTTCTTTTTTGGTGCTGGGATCGAACCCAGGGCCTCAGGCATGCTAGGCAAGCGCTGTACCACCGAGCTACATCCCAGCCCTCTCAAATTTATTCTGTAAAAGATCCATGGGTTCCAAGGATTTGATGGACTGAAATAGTCTACTATCAAAATGAACTAATAGCAATTTTTACCCAGTTGAAGACAGAATTTTTATTATTTTCCATATTTTTCTCTCGTGTTTGGCAAGTGTCTCAGATTACCCGAGTGTTGTAAGACAGCAAAGAAAATGACCTGCTGGTCAACAAATATTAATAGAAAATTTTAATACTGCATATATCATATATGAAATGAGATCTCCTATAAGATAAATCACTTCCAGTTAATATAATGAAAAAAAAAAGTGCTTTGATGAAACTAAAAAGTGCTCCATTATAAGTATTAAGACTCTGATGTGCTCATAAATGCCCCAATAAAGATACAGATAGTGATTAATAAACTTTCAGTAAAAGAAGATAGTAAACATTTTAGGTGTTGTGGGCCACAAAATCTGTTTCAACTATTCAACTCTACTATTGTAGAACAAAAATATTTACAGACAATACGTAAGCAAACGAATGTGATGTTTCCATAAAACTTTATGTACAGTAAAATCTGAATTTTGTGTAATTTCTGTATCATAAAAAGAGTATTCTTCTCCTGACTTCTGATCAATTTTTAGGTAAGATAAAAGCTCTTCTCAGCTTGCAAGCCAAACAAAAACTGGCAAAGGGCTAGATTTAGGCTACAGGCCATAGTTTGCCAATCATGTTCAAATTATACTAAAATAGAGTTATTTAGTATAGCAGGAAAAGAAGATAATTTATTTAGTCTTCAAGAGTGAATAAAGGGGACAATGGCATTTAATTAGAAAGAAACATGGAAAAAAGAAAAGGTTTTGATGAGTCAGCTCCATGCAGCTGTAGTTCATAGGAAGTGGCAAGAGAGACAAAAAAGACAAGACATGGAGAAAAGTTGTTCCATGACTACAGACCCAATTTTTGTACGTATTGATTGTTACTAAGAAGGTATAGGAGGAAAAAGAGACTGGCAGAAAAGAATCTAGCTATTACCATAGCCCTCAAGAATAAAAGTATGCCTGTCTTCAGTCAATCACAGAAATCTTAGGAGTATCAGAACTTAATGACAGAATGAACATGAAGAATGAGAGAATAAAGGAGAAGGGCAAATGGTCTACTTTAATCTTTGTCAACTGACCATTATGCTGCTGACCACACTTTCTCCTTCATAAAATTATGTTACAGAAGGGCTTTTCAGAACTGCAATTTCTCTCTTTTTTTTTTTTTTGTAGATCATATTATTGCTGAACTTGGGGTACACTGTAACATTTATAAAAATTCTTACAATGTATCTTAGTTATATTAACCCCATCCATCATTCTCCTTTATCCCTGTCCCCCACTTCTTCTAATAGTTTCAACAGGTCTCATTTTTCCATTTGCACATGAGTACATAACATTTCCATGATATTCACACTCCTACACCTCTTCCCCTATATCTTCCCCCACCACCACCAATACGCTGGTACCAACCCCTAGACAGGACCCATTTTACCTTCCTGTCCTTTGTTTATGAAAAAAGACATTGCTGTTTGTTTAAGATAGCTATGTGGGGAGTTTCATTATGACAAATGTACATATGTATTATATCCTGAATTGGTTCATCCCCTCCATTTTTCTCCTTTCTACCTTAATCCTCTTTATGGAGAATTCAACAGGTTTAAAAATTCTACATTCATTCTTGTATAGAAAGTACATCAACCATATTTACCTTCTTTACTTCCTTCTTTACCCTTTTCTCCTGTTAGTGCCCTCCCTGTTTTTCATTCTTGTCTTTCATTGTTTAGGTGTCTGTCTGTTGCTGAGTGGGGTTTTTGCTTTGGCATTATACTTGTATAGGTATTGTGCTCAAGTCGAAGTAACCCCCTCCACTGCACTTTGTCATTCTTTTCTCCCCAATCCTGTGTTAACAGTTTTCAGTGTGTTTCATTATGTCCTGTTCCTACACAGATGTGATACGTTTCATTATTATTTGCTGTATCTTTCTTTCCTTCTTTTCTTCCTCCTTTAGTCTCCTATACCAGTCCCACTTTTAGGTATAAATTCTGTATGTATTTGTATGCATATATAATATTTCTTCTATTTGTATTGGGCCTATATTCCATATATGACAGCAAACATGTGGCCTTTGGCTTTCTGAAGTTGGCTAACTTCACTTAAGATGATGTTCTTTCAGTTCCATCAATTTACATGCAAACAACAAAATTTCATTCTTCTTTATGGCTGAATAAAGTTTCATTGTATATAAATATCACATTTTTAAAATCCATTCATCAGTTGTGAGACATTTTGGCTGTTTCCATAGCTTAGCTATTGTAAATAATGCTGCAATAAACACGGGCATGCAGATGTCTTTATTGTAACCTGACTTCTATTCCTTCAGGTTTATCCCTAAGAATGGAATTGCTGGATCATATGGCAGTTCTATTTTTAGTTTTTTGAGGAGCTCCATACTGTTTTCCATAGTGGTTGTACTTATTTACATTCCCTCCGTTAGTGTATGAGGGTTCCTTTTCCCCCACATCCATGTCGACATTTGTTGTATGTGTTCTTCAGGATAGCCATTCTAACAAGAGGGAGGTGGAATCTTAACATGGTTTTGATATGCATTTCCTTTATGGCCAGGGATGTTGGGCATTTCTTCATGTATTTTTAGGCCATTTGTACTATTTCCTTTGAAAAATCTCTGTTCAGGGGAACTGCTATTTCTTAAATCCTAAATCCTTCCACCTTTCTGTCTCATTTGCTCATGAATCTTGCAGTTAAACTAGGTTTTATTCCTTTCTTATTCTTTCCCCCTGGATATTGCATTTCTTCAATAACTGTTTACAACAGACAATTCTACAATTTATAATGTAGCTTTGATTTCTTTTTTGAGCTAAAAATACACTTATGTTGGATATGTCTCAGTGATGGTCTTGCCAATTGCTCAAATTCCACATTCTAAAAACAAACCTGTCCTGTTAATGGCACCATCAACCTAGCCAATCATGATTCTGTGACTCTTCCCTCTTCTTGCTTCCTTATACCCAGAGATATTCACATACCATAGTGCCTGTAATATACTCACCACTTACTTTCAACCTGTGTATTCAACTATCCTTATCCAAAAGGCAATAAGCTTGGAGAATTAGGTAGCAATTTTAACACAACATCTAATACACTACTACTCTATGGATTTTATTTCAGAATGTTGTCTCTGCCATATTTAGTCCGACAGAATATGTCCTTTTCCCATTTTCCAAATGCCATTCTTTTGCTTTTATTATCCCTTCCACATTCAGTTCTCTTGTTTCTGTCAACTGAAATCTTTCACAACTAGGTCAAGTATTTCCTTCTCCTTAAAGGACACAAATCCTCAGAATCACAGAGATCTCTTTTCTAAATTTCTGTAACATGTATTACTTTCTTATACACTTAGCACAGTCCAATCTTGATTGTATTTACATTCCACCACTGTACAAACAATATGCACAGTTAAAACTATCTATTAAAATTCAGAAATTACACTAAATAAATTGTAAGTTCACAAAAATAAATCCCGAAACTTTTCATAGACTGTGTTATACCAGCATAAATGGTGTATTAAGTGATCTTATCCACTTAAAGCACATTCAAAAGTCACGAGTTCCCACCCCCCAGTAATATTAGCCCACAAGATAACATGAAATAAATGATATACTTTGAATTCCTTTCAATTTTTTTCAGAGAAAAAGATGCTACTGCAACCCCAAACATCACTATTTCTGAATACCAATGCCTATCTATCAGAATTTTCTACAATGGTGGAAATGTTCTATATCTGTGATAATGTGTGTTAGCAGGAGCTACTAACCAACCAGATGTGGATACAGACCATTCAAAATGTGGTATTGTAACTGAAAAGCTCAATATTTAAGTTTACTTACCTTAATTTAAATTTAAATAACCACTTATAACTAGTGTGTACTACAGAAGACAATGTGGTTTCAAATAAAAAATACTTCAAATATTTGCATTAAAATTTAGTTTCATTACATTACCACTAACAGTGTAAAGGTTAATACAAATGGTGAAACTGTTTAGTGCAAACAGCCAATTCAAAAGTACATATATGTTCTAGTAATTTCACTTACACTCAAGAGAAATACACATATATATATGTGTGTGTGTGTGTGTATATATATATATATCCACATAAAAACCTGTAAACACATATTCACAGTAGCCTTATTCATTATATTCAAAAAGCAGAAACGACCCAAATGTTTATCAACTGTAGAATAAACAACGTGTAGTATATAGAGACAATGGAATATTATTCAGCCATAAAAATGGATGCAGCATTGATGATACTATAATTGGAATGATGCTACTTGAAGACAATATGCTAAGTTAAAGAAACTAGTTATAAAAGACCATATATCATATGGTTCTATTTATACAAAACGCCAAGAACAAGCAAATCTATAGCACCAATTAGAGTTTTGGTGCCTAGGGTTGAGGGGATGGAGAGAATGAGGAGTCAAAGTTAAAGAGTACAGGATTTCTTCCTGCGCTGATAAAAATATTCCACAAATTATTGTGCTGATGGCTATACAAGTATGTAAATATACTATAAGTCACTGAACTGTACATTTTAAATGGATGAATTGTATAGTACATGAGTTATATCTAAATAAAAAAAAGTGTTGGCTTTTATTGATTTCTACATCTAAGGTTGCAAACATTAACAACAACAAAACCCTTCAAATTCAGTTAAGTGCTTAGGTAAGTTAAATAACTGAGCACATTTAAGCACACTTATGATAGCCTGTGTGTGTGTGTGTGTGTGTGTGTGTGTGTGTGTGTGTGTGTGTGTGTGTGTGTGTTTGCTGGTGACTGAATCCAGGGTCTTGCACATGCTAAGCAAGCGCTCTACCACTGAGGTCTACCTCCAGTCTTTCTCATTTTGATGTTACAAAAATAAAAAGAAAGGGCTGGAGATGTAGCTCAGCAGTAGAGCACTTATCTAGCATGCATAAGACTCTTGGTTCAGTCCCTAGCACTGCAAATGTTTCTTTTTTTAACTCAAAGAAAAATAAATAAGAAAGCAATTGCAACTATGTATTTTACAGTGAAATAGACAATAATCTAATTTACCTAGTAGTTAAATATCTGTGCATAAAGAATATGTAAATCCTAAATTAACGTGATAGGTGATATTTTAGCAAATATTATAAAATTTCTCAATTCACTAACCTATTTTCTATTATCATAATATCAAATTTCCATTTTGAGATACCAACAATGAATGCTGAAATTATGATTACTGTGGAATAATCAAAAATCATACCTCAAAAACGTCATCATGGTTAACAATATGCTTCAAGTTTTCAGAGGCCTTCATATTTGTAGTTACTGGTAAATTCCCAGCACTGATCTCAGCTTCAGGTTCACTCATCTTCTGTATAGAGTTCCCTATCATATACTTCTCTCTTTCATCAACTTTGCTTTTTACTGTAGTACTTTCTGAAGTCTACGTAAAAGAAAAGTTAAAGACCTCATATTCTTTAAGGTTTATATCTTTTCATGCATTAAAATTCAGATAAAATTTACAAGTAATATATCAACTTCAATTCTAGATAATTCTTAAACTATAAACATAGAAGCTATAACACTCACAGATAAAAATGCCCATTTGAGGAGACTGATGGCTTATAAAGATCCATGAACTATATTAAAATTTGTAATTTACCCAATGTACTTTTCCTCATGGAAGTGGCAAGGTTGGTGTGGCCAAGTGTGTCACTAAGCTTAGCACACTCAACAAACTGTTCTCTGCGTATTGTGCAATACACAGTAACTCTAATGACATGAAAAAACTTTTATTTCCGTCATACAGTATGTGTGTGGGCAGTTCACTAAAGGAATATACAATTTAAGAAATTTGTAGTGGGGAGGGATAAAGGAATTCAACTACGATATATTGTCAGAATTTTTGTAAATGTCACAATGTACCCCCAGTAAAATAATTTAAAAAATTTTTTAAAGAAATTTGTGAAAGTTTCTGAAAGATCCCAAGGAACTGTCAAGTATCTGTCATAGCAATTATATTTAAAATTAGAATTGAGTAAAGTGGATCAGTACCATTAAAATGGGGGGAGATAATATTTCCATAATAATGATTTTTCTGACAATCATCATATTCTTTGTTCAGTCTATCATTTTTTTTAAAAGGCTGTGTTGAGACTATCCTGCTAATCTGGACATTCTATGGCCAGAGAATAGTAATAAGAGCAATTAGGAAGTTCAGTAAGCTTACTTCCCAGTTCAGGTGGCTGAGAACAAGTCCATAAATTAGAGGTACACTTAGTGTATACAAAGGATCATTTCATCAATTATCATATAATTTTTAGTCAATTATTTTCAATTGAGTTTTCTAACCTTCATGCCCACATCATTATTTACAACCTGCTGATCTTCATGTGGTTTCAAATCTCCTCCAGAGTCTTCATTGTTCTCTTCATCTTTCAATCTATGCACAATGGTTTGAACGGTTTTGACCATATTCTTAAGCTCATCTGGGTATGGTGTTGGATATCTCTTTAAATTTCCCTCCTAGGAAAACAAGTGAAATATAAAGTATTAATCCATCTGAACCACTGGATATCTAGCTCACAGGGATAACTGTGAAGATAAAGGACAGGTTGTGAAAGCATTTTAGGCTCCATAAAAACACAGTTTTATCAAAAAATAGTAAAAGACTTCAAAGTAAATTTCAATGTTTTAAAAGCTTTTTAATCATTAGCATTTCTATACACTAATAATGAACAAAATGAGAAAGAATATATGAAAACAATTCCATTTACAGTAGCCTCAAAAAAAATCAAATACTTAGGTATAAACTTAACAAAGGATGTGAACAACCTCTACAAGGAAAACTATAAACTTCTGAAGAAAGAGATTGAGGAAGACTACAGAAAGTGGAGAGATCTCCCATGCTCATGGATTGGTAGACTCAACATAGTAAAAATGTCTATACTCCCAAAAGGAATCTACATGTTTAATGCAATTCCCATCAAAATTCCAATGACATTCATTAAAGAGATTGAAAAATCTACCGTTAAATTTATATGGAAACACAAGAGGCCACGAATAGCCAAGGCAATACTCAGTCAAAAGAACAATGCTGGAGGTATCACGTCAAACGACTTCAAACTATATTACAAAGCAATAACAATAAAAACAGCATGGTACTGGCACAAAAACAGACATGAAGACCAGTGGAACAGAACAGAGGACCCAGATATGAAGCCACACAACTATAACCAACTTGTCTTTGACAAAGGCGCTAAAAATATACGATGGAGAAAAGACAGCCTCTTCAACAAAAACTGCTGGGAAGATTGGTTAGCAGTCTGCAAAAAACTGAAACTAGAGCCATGTATATCACCCTATACCAATATTAACTCAAAATGGATCAAGGATCTTAATATCAGACCCCAAACTCTAAAGTTGGTACAGGAAAGAGTAGGAAATACTCTGGAATTAATAGGTATAGGCAAGAACTTTCTCAATGGAAACCCCAGCAGCACAGCAACTAAGAGATAGCATAGATAAATGGGACTTCATAAAACTAAAAAGCTTCTCCTCAACAAAAGAAATGGTCTCTAAACTGAAGAGACCACCCACAGAGTAGGAGAAAATATTTGCCAGCTACACATCAGACAAAGGACTGATAACCAGAATATATAGGAACTCAAAAATCTAAATTCTCCCAAAACTAATGAACCAATAAAGAAATGGGCAAGTGAATTAAACAGAACTTTCTCAAAAGAAGAAATTCAAATGGCCAAAAATACATGAAAAAATGCTCACCATCCCTAGCAATAAAGGAAATGCAAATTAAAACCACACTAAGACTCCCCTCACCTCTGTTAGATATCATTAGAAACACCACTAACAACAGGTGTTGGCGAGCATGCAGGGAAAAAGGAACCCTCTTACACTGCTGGTGGGAATGTAAACTAGTACAACCACTCTGGAAAAAAATTTGGAGGCTACTTAAAAAGCTAAACATTGATCTACCATTTGATCCAGCAATACCACTCTTGGGGATATACCCAAAAGACTGTGACACAGGTTACTCCAGAGGCACCTGCACACCCATGTTTATTGCAGCACTATTCACAACAGCCAAGTTATGAAAACAGCCAAGATGCCCCACTACTGATGAATGGATCAAGAAAATGTGGTATTTATACACAATGGAATTTTATGCAGCCATGAAGAAGAATGAAATGTTATCATTCGCTGGTAAATGGATGGAATTGGAGAACAACATTCTGAGTGAAGTTACCCTGGCCCAAAAGACCAAAAATCATATGTTCTCCCTCATATGTGGACATTAGATCAAGGGCAAACACAAGAAGGGGATTGGACTTTGATCACATGATAAATCTAAAGCACACAAGGGAGGTACAAGGATAGGTAAGACACCCAAAAAACTAGATAGCATTTGTTGCCCTCAGTGCAGAGAAACTAATGCAGATACTTTAAAAGCAGCTGAGGCCAATAGGAGAAGGAGACCAGGAACCAGAGAAAAGGTTAGTCGAGAAGAATTAATTTAGAAGGAAAGCACATGTACAGGAAAGCAACGCGAGTCAACTCCCTGTATAGCTATCCTTACCTTAACTAGCTAAAACCCTTGGTCTTTCCTATTATTGCTTATACTCTCTCTTCAACAAAATTAAAGATAAGGGCAAAATAGTTTCTGCCTGGAAGTGAGGGGATTGGGGGGAGAGGGAGGGGGTAGGGGGGTTAAGGGAGGGGATGGGGGAGGAGGGGGGACAAATGACCCAAACATTGTATGCACATATGAATAAAATAAAACATAAATGTGTGTATCAGCCAGAAATGCCTTGGCTGAAAGTGAAAGATAATCTGGCTTAACACACAAGGAAAAAAAAAACCAAAATCTTTTTTTCCATTTGGAAATATACAGTGAAGATACTACGAAAGAAACCTCTTGTCATGTGGCTACAAAATACATATATGCTTGCCAGCACACATATAAAATTTAGACATTCATATACTTATGTCTCATATGCCAGAAACAAACTCTTGCAATGTCAGCTTAATTGTCATTTTCTGGGATTTAACTAATTTACATAAGTGGCAAATAAATACATCTGTAAGAATCTTGAAAATGTTATTTGGGGCTCACAACTGAAACACATACTCTTAATCCCATAAAGAATCAAACTATATGCTGAAGGAGTGGCTCAAGTGGTACACCTGCCCAGTGAGCATGAGGGGAAGGAATTACTGAATTCTGGAGTTGAATTTTAAAAAGCACCCTTTAAAAAATTTAAAAGGTTAAACTTTTGGTTAATTTCTTTAGCTACAATAACCTTTCTCTTGTATTTATATGTACTTGAAATTTAGTTTTTCTTTTCCAAGTGGATAGAACCCAGGGTTTTTAGCATGCTAGGGAAGAGCTCTACCACTGAGCTATATCCCCAGGCAAAATTTAGCCTTTATATTGCTCTCAAGCTCTTTCATATGTGAACTATTCTAGATCACTAATAGACATGAGGACAAACAATGAATCCAAAACTTCTTTGTAACCACAAAACAATATAGTATACGTATACAGTACCATTTAAATATCATCAGACCTATTTCAAGTTTGGAAGCAAAACAGACTTACCCTGGGAGGTGCCTCCCTTTCATCTTTGTCTTCATCACATTCAAATGCCACTTGTGCCCGCTGTCTCCTCTGTTCTTCCCACAATGAAGGATTAAAACTTTCATTATCTGATATGAACATAACTAGAAAAAGGTAAAAACACAAAGAATCCTACTATATCTTACTGTAAATTACAGAAAACTATGGTTTGCTCATTATCTTCATTATGAGTAATTTATTACAATAAGACAAGACAGTTAAAGATGGTCAATGTCAGTAGCAATAAATCCTAGGGTAAACAACTAGGCTTTGATTTTAAGATTTCTTTACAGTGTCCGTCATAATTTTTTTTTCCCCTGAAGCTGATTTGTCTTATTTTGTTACAAGAAGGGATACTAAAAACATTGTAGTTTTGTGAAGTACCCTAAAAAAGTAACCTGGTAATACTCCTGGCATATAAATCCTTTCATCCAAATTTTGTATTTTCACATCTTCTTAATTCCAATAGTTTCTTATGCATAGAGACAGGTAAAAAAAAGTCTGATGACAAAAAGACCTATTTTGGTTAAAAAAAAAAAAAATCCTGATGGCATGTAACTATTTTTGCATTAAACATGATACATGATATAGGTTATATTTACTAATACTTACAATGTGTATTCTATATAAAACGTAAAATTGAAATTTAATGTAAACTCAACACATCAGATGTAATATTCCCACTTTACTCTTTTCTTTCTCAATAAACTCCTGCTTTACAAAAAAAATTCTAGACTGAAATCATTTAACTATTATACATCATCCTATAAAAATTATACAATATGAAATGAAACCACGAAGTAGCTCAAGTGGTAGAGCATGAGCCTAGCAAGTGTGAGGCGCTGAGCTGAAACTCCAGTTACCACCAACAAATAAAAAGATCACCACTTTTCCAAAACGACTATCCTTACTCAAAATAAAATGAGATTAAAAGCACCCAAAATTAACTAACTGAAATCCTGGAATATACAAATATGGTCAATTTGAATATTTATGCAAAAATAGCGTAACACAGAAAAACTATCACTTATATTAAGCTCTTGTGTAGGATTTCTTTTGAAATGTATTCAGACTAAGGATTCCATGAAACAAATATGAGAGTATGAACAATGGAAGTGGGATTGTTTTTGGTTTTATTTGCTCACTTGTTTTTGAGACAGGGTGTTGCTTTGTAATGCAGGCTGGCCTGGAATTTGAGCTCCTCCTGCCTCATCCTCCAGAGTGTTCCGGGTTGATATGCTTGCTCTAACCATGCCCAGCGAGAATCAGATTTTTTGGTTTTCTTTTTTCTTTGTTTTCATTATGCAGATCAAGATTTTTATTCGAACTGCTTCACATTTACTTAATGAATCAGACTATTTTTGTTCAAAACAAATGCGATGTGGTTCGCTTCCCTGTATATGGTATCATTAGAAAGGCAAGCACAGACAGGCAACTGCCTACAAACTATTTCTAGAATTTGTATAATTCCCCCACCTATCTTGCGTGGTAATTTCAACCACCAGCTAGCCCCCAAAATGTCTAAAGTTGTTAATTATGTCAAAGCAATTTTGTATAAGAATCTATTCTCAACTCCAGAAGTAACTGACCATGCGACTCATTCTTTTCAACTTCTGGTCATCTACACTCATTCCTTTATATAAATCTCATATCTTCAAAGATTTAGGACAGCAAGTATTATTACTTTCTTCCCATTCTAGTCACCAATTGATCTGATCAACCAGACATACTCACTGAGAACTCTAGCACCTGTGTAGCACCTGGTTACAGGTGCTTTCTCTCCCAAAACCTCCAATATCCTAAATGATGTCAATATGTGATGATTCCTCCCAACATGGCAACTTCATAGTTCCTGGATTTCTTCAACTCCAATGTCCATATGTATATCCGCTAAGTGACTGAAAACCATGGTCATACTCAAAACTTTGGCTTTCATAAAACTTTTCCACATTTTTGACCACCAAATAATTCACTTCCTTAAACTTTCAGTTCCTAGCCATCTCCTTTTACTTCCTGTAAAAACACTCCAGATTTTACTTCCTTATCTAGTAAAACTTAAGATATATTAATCATTACCACTTCCTTCAAATGCCCGTTCTTAGTCTCCACAGGCAAGTAAATCTCTTTCACATCACTATGAAAAGAAATGCAATAAAAATTCTTGGACTGAAACCTACCAATACCCTGTTTTGCTATCTGTAAGTTTATTGTTATGGAGCATACAACTAATTCTTATATGTAGGTTTAAAATCTCATTCCTTCTCTTTCAAATTTATTCATTATTTGCTTTTAGATTCTTGAAGGCAAAGAATTTTTGTATTTAAACACTTAGCTCTAATATAATACCTGTCACACAGGTAGAAAAGTAAAAGTGGAACAAACTAAATGTGAAGAAAATGTGTGTTTCTCTCAAGTTGGTGTAAAACTCCAACAAAGGATAACATATATTATCTGACTCATCTATTCTTAGAGCATGGGGATAAAAGAAATGCTTTCCTTGAAGCTGAAAGGAAAGTCACCTTTCTGAAGACACCGATGTAGTTTCTCATTCAGGATTGTGAGTGTATTACATTCAGGGCTTTGTTTGTAACAATCACAGTGAGATATTTTAAGTGACCCATAAATTCAAGAGGACTCAGAATATCACGATTGATTCTTGTACTGAAAACTTTTCCACTACAGACCTTTCCATTCTATTAAAAAAAAAAAAAAAACACTCAAAATAGAAAACAGGAAGAATTTTCCTATCAGAAATGAACTTCTTGCCTGAATTATGATCTCTTTTAAGAAGAAATAGGAATGGAATAAACTGTGAAGTGAGAGAATGAGAAAAGAAGGCAAGGGGGATTTGAATAATGGAAATGGAAGAGTAAAAAGAGAGCTCAAGGGATGCATATCCTCATGATTAAGACAGTTCAGAGGAGGCTGGCAGAATGGCTCAAGTGGTAAGTGCTTGCCTAGCAAGCCTGAAGCCCTGAGTTCAAACCTCCAGCATCACAACAAAACAAAACAGAATTGATAAGATAGTTTAGTGGAGCTAGGACTCTTTTTGTCAAGGACCAGATCCTAATATATTTTAAGTTTTGTGAGCCAGAGGCAACTGATGATAATAGTATCTATTTTGGAAGATTGTTGTAAGATGAGAAATTATTAGATATCTATATTTATATTAGATATAAAGTGCTTACCTCTATGTCAGATTCAATCAAACTGGCTATATTGTAATATTCCTATGAAAGGTTTAATGAATAGCTTTGAAATAATTAAATAGACACAAAACCTAATTCATTTAACTTTGTTTCTGTAACTAGTGATAATTATTTTATCATCTCTCATTATTTCCTATTTTTTAATTTTTAAAATTTTTGACAGTATAGGGATTTAAACTCAGGCCCATGTGCTTGCTAGGCAGGCACTTTACCACTTGAGCCACACTTCCAATCCCTTTTGCTTTAGTTATTTTTCAAATAGGGTCTCCGGGTTTTTCCAGGCTGGCCTTGGTAACCTTATAATTTATGTCTCCCTGGTAGCTGGGATGACAGGCATGTCATACCTAGTCTATTGGCTGAAATGGGGTCTTGCTAAATTTTTGCTTGGGATGGTCTCAAACCACAATCCTCCCAATCTCTGTCTCCCCATAGCTGAGATTATAGATGTGAGCACCACACCAGGCCTTTTTCTTTTTTTTTTTTTTTTGAAACAGGGTCATGCTGAGTAGCCCAGCCTGTCCTTTGCTCATGATCCTCCTGCCTCTGCCTCCCAAGTGCTGGGATTACAGGCACGAACCACCTCAGCTGGTTTATTTCTTACTCTTAACAGAAAAAAGATTTCCTTTGATAAATTGCTGTTTCTTGGGTATATTTGATAACATATATTTAGGTATAGCAAAAACAATTAAACTTTTGTACTGAATTAAAGTAAAGGTTATTTACATTCACTTCTAACCTTCACATTAGAAGTTAAAAGGTATAAATTATACTTATGCCACTAACAAGGCAAAATAGGGAATCACAGCAAATAACTTGGATACATCAACAGATCATGTAAACAATACAATCAGCTATGTACTATGCTCCAATAACTATTTTTTATATGTGTGTGGTACTGGGGATTGAACAAAGGGCCAACCACTTGACCTATGTTCCAGTCCATAATTTTTCTATTATGTGGCAGAATAGAATGCTAATACTTAAAAGTATTTGTGAGGAAGGATTGGTAAACTCTCAGTAAAGGGCCATATAATATTTTAGGCTCTATAGGCCACAGTTTCTGCAGCTAACACTCATCTCTGTAGCTTGGAAGTAGCCATAGACAGTACATAGATGACTGAAGTTGGCTGTGTTCAAATGGAGCTGCTATGAAAAGAAAACTGAAGCTTAACTACTTAACTTGCTCATAGCATATTTTAGAAGCTAATGATTACATTTTTCTTCAATGTTTTGCATTAAGAATTAATTTATAAATAACTTTAGACGACAGGTATTTTTACCAGTTTCAGAAAGGAGATGCATATATATAAGTATATATATATGTATATACACATACACAGGAGTACAATATATGAGAAATAATTTGCTCCTCTGTCTTCATACAATAATCCACAAAAATACATTTGTAGCCAGTAGTAAAGAATATATTCTACCTTGTCAGGCAAACAACAGGAAATAATTTAGCAGTAATCTTTATAATCAGAGTTCCATAGAGCATTCTAATCTAATGCAGAGATTCCAAGTGTAGTATTAAGTTTACAACAGAAGGGGACAAAATATTTCTGGGTTTAATACTTTAATCATGTAACGCTTAAAATATATTCCATCATTTAACTAAATGTTATTTTTAAAATAAGGAGATCTATAATTAATGATGCTAGCAATCTAATTTAAAGGAATTATTGAAGGAAGCACATGATACACTTGTCCTCTAAGTTCAAATAATTATATCCCATTTATGTTATTTTCTCATTATTTTTAAAGAATTTCTCTGATCAATTCTCCAACGTTTCACTGAACCATTAAAAGTCTTTGAGACTTCAATTTCACTGGGTACCTTTGCTTTGATTAGTCACATTTGTTTTTGAAAGGAAAAGGAATTCTTAAATTCCTACCATCCTCAGTTCTTGGCTGTTGAGGGAACATGTAGTTAGTGAGCACCGTTTTCTGAGTCTCTGGATCAGTTTCTTTTTGAAGAGGTATCAAGGGTTTGGACTAGGGAAAGAAAATACATGTTAAATTTTTAATAACCCTAAAGCAAATATATATCTAGCAATTCCTCTATATAAGAATTCACCATATTTTTAAAATAAAGTCTCAAGGCGTAGGTTACGAAACCAAATTTAAGTATATGCCATAACACTTTAAACACTAATTTGAATGAAACCATATAAAAATCCAACTGAGTTTTTAGTATAGGGCAAATTCACAGTGTATTGCAATTATCACTGAAATAATTAGTTTTTAAATATTTCATATATCAAGTTTTCTATAGTTCAAGAATGACTTCATTACAGCGATTAATAAATAAAGTTATAAAATATACCTTTCCTTTTCTTTTTTTTTTTCTTTTTCTAGTATTTCCCTTTGCAAAGATGCTTTTGGAAAAAATCATTTGGAAGGTTTCTTATGGTTAGTAGCTAAATATAAAAGTGCTTAGAACAACTGTTAAGTTATAAGGTAAGGTGTTCTATCTCCTCTCACCATCAATGGCCATGACAAGTTACACAGTGATGGTTTTTTTGGTTTGTTTTTTTTTTTTTTTTTTGCTGGTACTGGGGTTTGAACTCAATGCCTCAGGCTTGCTAGACAGACACTCTACCACTTGAGCCATGTCACCACTGTTTTGTGTTGGGTATTTCTGAGACAGGGTCTTGCAAACTATCTGCCTGGGCTGGCTTCAAATGGCATTCCTCCTGATCTCTGCCTCTTGAGTATCTAGTATTATAGGCGTGAGCCACTGGTGCCAGCTTTATATATATATTGGGTGGAATTGCTGTTTGAACTCAGGGCTTTGAACTTGCAAAGCAGACACTCTACCATTTGAGCCACAGCTCCAGTCTGCACCCAAATATTATGGACTTCATTTTTTCTTAACATTTGATGCTCATTTTTCCTTAACAAATCTTATCAATTTACTTCATAATATGACTAATTTTTTTTTCCAACCTATTCACTTCAAATCTTACCAATGAAAGCCTTGACTGAGTCCAGGTAGGCAGACAACTACTCAATCCTCCCCCACCTGTGCCATCGTATCAGTCAATTCTCTAGATACAGTTTTATGAAAACCTAATAGGTACTTAATTCCAGCCTGTAATCATACTCTCAAACATTTCGAAGCTCTGCATCTCCCTCCTTCTTCCGAAATAACCATACTGTCCAACATCCCAAACTTCAGAACATTTTCCTTGACTTCCTAAGACAATGAGAATGGCAAGTATCCTTTGCCTAAGACAGTGCTTCCTTCAAGTCTGAGATTTAGACTGCTTATTCTCCCACACCTTATCCACCCAAAGGCGGGAGGTGGGCACAGCATTTACAACACTGAGATCTTTGTTGTTTTACCCTCAAATTTAAACTCCTGTTTCTTTGAGGCACATAAACCTTGCCTCTACATTCAATTTATTAGAGGCAATATGGTGTTGGAACTGCTGGCAACACTGGAGGTAGAGACTTGTCAGGAAGCTATCTGAATAGTCTAAGTCAGCATTGTCCAACAGAGTCATAATGTGACAGGAAAATAAGAACCATAGATAATTTATAATTTTCTGTTACACTTTTTTTTTTCAGGGGAGAGTGTGAACGCAGTCCCCCAATACCATAAATTATGCAGTCGAGTTTCCCACATTCAGGGAAATCGCAGGGGTCAGTACATCAGGAGTGCAATGGATAAGCCTCGCCCTGGGAAAACCACCTTCGTGATCATGGTTATCTCCCTTGCCAGGTCTATTACACTTTTTTAAAAGGCAGAAGGACTGATTGGGCATGGTGGTTTACACCTGTAATTCCAACTACTCAGGAGATAGAGAGCAGGAGGACTGAGGTTCAAGGCCAGCCAGGGCAAACAGTTAGCAAGACACCATCTCAACAAACAAGCCAGGCATAGTGGTAATCCCAGCTATGGTCCTAGGCTGGCCTTGGCCAAAAATGAGATCCCATCTGAAAAGTAATGCCCCCAAAAAGCAAAAAGGGCTGGCAGCATGGCTCAAGTGGTAGAACTCCTGCCTAGCAAGTACAAGGCCCTTAGTTCAAACTCCAGTACTTTGGAAATAGATAAAAAAACAATGGTGAAGCACTTGCCTACCATGTATGAAGCTCTAGATTTGATACTCAGTACAGGGGGAAAAAACTTATTTTAAGGCAGATGTAGGGGCTAATGTCTGCAGTTCCAGCAATTCAGAGGCTGAGGTAAAAGTATCATGAGTTTGATCTGGGCTACAAAGTAGGACCTTGTCTTAAAAACCAAAATAAGTCAGACACAGTGGTTTACTCCTGCAATCCCAGCTATCCAGGAGACAGACATCCACAGGATCCCAGTTTGAAGTCAGCCCAAGCAACAGCTAGTGAGACCACATCTCAACAAACAAGCCAGATGTGGTGTTGAACACCTATAATCCCAGTTATAAACAGGGAGGCCCAGGCAAAACCACAGGACTCTGAAAAGGAGCTAAAGCACAAAGGTCTTAGGGAGTGGCTCAAGTGGTAGACTGCCTACCTAGCAAGTTTAAGGCCCTGAGTCCGAATGCCAGTACCACTAAAAATCAAAAAAAGGGGACAAAAGAGATGAAATTAACTTCAATGAAGCATTCAATTTAACCTGACCTATTAAAATATAATTTTAATGTGTAGTCCAATATAAAAATTATGAATGTAAAATTTTACATTTTCTGTTCCTACTGAGGTTAAAAATCCAGTTTGCCTTTTACTTTCACCAATCATATGACACTAGTGGCTACTGCACGGGACAGTGCAGAATGGAGTGGAAGATGATGGTGGACAGCAGTTAAAAGAAGGAGCAGTAGGTCTTTTATATTCAACTGGGCTAGATAACAAACTGAAGTCCAGGCAAATCCATTAGTTACAAGCTACATTCCCACATCTCCGACTCCATCAAATAATTCTTACTGAGCTATGGATCTCAGTAAGAAAGTATATGGGGCAGAGGACAGTGTACTCAATTTTAGGCTGCCTGAATTCAGGACATCTAGGCAATGTTAAACAGACACTGAACTATATGAATGGGAAGTTTAGGCACAGCACTGGGCTGAGGATGTCAGAAATCATGAGGTTGCAGAAAGTGACAGGGAGGGTAAGTAAGAGAAACTAAAGCAGAGCCTAGAGGTTTGTGAGGAACACAAGCACATAATCACATAAGGCATGGGAGAAGAAACAGGCCTGCAGAGGAGACTGAGAGTAGTGAGCAATGAGTAGCAGAGGATGGCAGCAGACACCACACAGACAACTACAGCCCTTGCTGATCACACTCCCCAAGACAGCCTGACTCCAACATTCTTATCATTTGCTCCAGTCCTTGCTCCCTTTTGGTGCTTTACACCTTACCTCATTTCAAGTGCTTTCTAGTCAACAGCCAGGATCTCCTTGCTGCACTGTTCCTTTGGTACACCTGGCATGGCAAAGCTGCAGCCCAGACCATTCCAATTGTGTGCTTTCTCTATTATCACACAGCTAACTTAGTTTGTAGCACCATAAAACCTGCCCTTCGGGAACTTCTCAAAATTACTGTTCAAAGAATCATTTCCTTTTTTTCCATTGTTATTACAGACTTATTCTTCTTGTTTATCTGTACCACTACAAATCTGAAACATTATTCACAATAGCCACGATAAGAAATCAACCTAAGTGCCGATCAATGGATAAATGGATAAGAATAATGTGGCATATATACACAATGAACTATTACTCAGCCTTTACTGACAGCTGCAACAAAATGGATGAACCTGGAATCCATCAAGCTAGGTGAAACAAGACAGACATAGGAAGGCAAATATCACATGTTGTTGGCCTATATGTGAAATTTAAAATAGGAGAACTCACAGAGTAAAAATGGTAGTTTGAATAGGGGTTAGGGAGGGGTGGACTGGGTGGATATACTGGTCAGAGTAGAAAATTTCAGATCAACAGAAGGAATAAATTCAGGAGCTCTCTTACACACAATAAGTACAGTTAAAAACAATACTGTGTATTCTTGAAAATTGCTGGGAGAGTAGATTTTAAGTACACTCACCACAAAAAATGACAAGTACATGAGGTAATAATTAAAGTTAGGGACTACTGGGTCTGGTTTCCTAATCTCTCTATATTCTTATGGGTTTAGAAACTAGACAAGTTCAACAAAATATATTATTTACAAATTTATACCTGTTATAAAAATTATTTTTCTAAGTATTTCTAAGGTTTTTCTTAAATATGTATTATATATAATGCATTCTCACATGTACACCAGTGTGCAACTGCTCTTAAATCACCCAATGTAAATTAGAGTGCATAATTGTAACACAAATGAAATCCCAGTAATTTACAAAATCAGAATGCCCACCTGATTATCTGACAGCCACATAGCAGTCAATTGCTGTAGTTTTGTAAAATTAAAGGGCAAATTCTTTAATCTGCAGGGAAAAAATACAAATAAAAATTAAACTTTAAAATGAGAATATTTAAAATGATACAAAGTTGGGGTCAGTGGTAGAGCACTTGCCTAACATATGCAAAGCCCTGGGTTCCATTCCTAGCACCACAAAAATACAAATAATAAAAAAATTAAATTAAAATGAATGAAAGCTAAATCTAAGGGTTGTCTGAACAATGCTATGTAATAGTATATGTAAATAGGATAAAAAGGAGAGAAATGCCCAATACAGGCCTCGTATAGGATATAAGACAAAATGTTATCTCATTTTAAAAACATAATAAATTTTTCAATTGAATGAATTCAGCAGGTAAGAAAATAAACATAATCTAATAACTTCAAAAAATTATGTGCTAAAAAGTAACAGTCAACAGTCCTTGCCTCAAGAGAAAAAACAAGGACAATTTAAGCTCTAGCTCATAAAATTGCTTTGTTTTTTTTAATTTGTATTTAGAGAGAATAAACTGTTACAATAAATAGTCTTAAGAGACAGTTTATTATAAAAAATGCACTGGTCTGTATTTTTTGTGAGCCACTACTTCTATAATCCAGAAGATTATTTTAAGATGATAAGTAAAAACAAAATAATATAAAAGTACATTAGGGCCTCATGCTTGCTAGGCAGGTGAGCCACTCCACCATCCCTTTTTTTATGCTGGGTATTTTTGAGATAGGGTCCCACAAACTATTTGCCCAGGCCATGATCACTGCCTCCTGAGTAAGCTAGGAATACAGGCATGAGCCACTAGCGCCCTATTAGAATGACAAATTAAAATAGTACCCTATTTATACTAGATTGTCTCTTCAACCTTGCTATGAGACGCCTCACTAGTCTTCTATGCTTAACTTTTAAGGCAATTTGTCAGAACCCAGTGCTCTGGACAGTGGAAAGACAAGGCATAGGACAAAATGGAGATTTAATAAGAAAGCAATGGATTTTTCTTTTTTAATATAATAATTTACGTATCATTAATTAGCAAAAAGTTCTATCTTACAAACTGTAAGTTTAAATATAAGTCTTAAATTTCTCCTACATACAAGAGAAATACCTGTGGTGCTATTTCTTTTTCTTTCTTTCTTTTTTTTTTTTTTTTTGCAGTACTGGGGCTTAAGCTCAGGTCCTTCACATTGAGCCATTCCACCAGCCCTATTTTTGTGAAGGGTTTTTCAAGATAGGGTCTTGCCGACTACTTGCCCGGGCTGGCTTTGAACCGAGATCCTCCTGATTTCTGCCTCCTTGGTAACTAGGATTACAGGCGTGAGCCACTGATGCCTGGCCCTGTGGTACTATTTCATAAGGTTGTTTTGAAGATTTCCTAAGATACTAAGACGGTAAAATATAAAACACTCTACAAAATGGTGTTTTATCATCTTATCTTCAACACAGGAAAAGTTATGAATATATGAATATTTTAAATGCAAACACCATTCAAATTTGGTAGCCTAGCAATCATTTTGCTCTGCACCTTAGGTCTGTGGTCTATGCTGTTTGAACGTGCATACCTCTGCCCAAAAAAATGTAAGCAACAGATTTGATTCAAAAATTGCGTTATTCAACACCTGAATTAAGGAGAACTAACTTAAGGAATAAAAAGGTCATAAGGAGAGAACAGAAGATGTATAGTTAAGTGAACACAAAATGAACAGCGGTGAACAATGATAACATCAGATAAAATTAGATCTATTTAAAAAACCTTTTAAATATATATAAAAATAAGAACACCCATCAGCTAGTCTATCACACTGCATATGAAACTTTAATTTTATTCAGTATACTCTATAAACCAATTAAAGAATATAATATTACAAACCTATTGTCACTTAAATTTATGACTTTTAATTTTTGCATATCACCCATTTCCTCTGGAAGTATCTCAAGTTTATTAGAATGGAGAAACAACACAGTTATACTTTTCCAGTTTCCAATCTGAAAGAGAAACATAAACTGGACATCAAAAATTTGGCTTACAATTTAATAAACACAGTACTAATATCATATTGGAAACATAAAAAATACTCTTTGCATTTATAAGAAGAGTAACTTTAATCATACTTTCAGAAAGAAAGGGAAGTTTTTAGGAACATCTAAATTAACATAACTAGTTACTATTCAGAAAATATGTTAATTAATAAAATATTTTAGAAAGAAAATAAATGAAGTAACACTGGACAACTAAAGTAAAGATAATTAGAAAAAGGTGAAAAGACAAAAATCCAAAAACATATTTAAAATATAGTACCTCTGGGGGTAACTGTTGTAAGTAATTGTGATCTGCAGCAAAGGTTCTTATATTAGTAAGCTGTCCAATAGATGAAGGTAATGCTTCAATTTCATTGAAGCTACAATCCAGTTCTTCTATTGATATTAACCTTTAAATTGAAACATATTCTATATAAAAAAAGTTTCCTATATAGTATCCAAAATTTAAGAACATATGAACATTTGAAGCTAACTGTAACAAACCTAGTGAAATTTCATTAAACTAAATTTCACCAATAAACAGGTCTATGCTTAATATAAAAATACCCAACTTATATGCCAATTAAATGTTTGTGAACTCTCCTCTAGATGTTATTTATGCAAATATCTCAAAATACGTATGACATTCTGAATTAAATATAAAATATTCAAGGATCTGTACATTCACAAAAAAAGACTTACCCTCCTATAGAGTCTGGTAGATACATTAATTGGTTTTCATCTATTTTAAGAGTTGTGACATTCTTTAATGAACCTATTAAGAAATATATAAAATTTCAGCTCAAACTAGAAAGTCACTGTGAGACACATTACATACATTTGACAAGAATGACAAAGAACTTTGCCAACTCGACATATCTTAAGAGACACCATCCCAACTCCATTTCTTGTATTCCCTCATCCTACATTTTCAATTTCACCCACATCACCTTTTAGCATAGTGTAAGTTTGACTGTTAATCCCCTACTAATATATAAGGTACATAAGAGGACAGACTTTGTCTACATTTTTCACTGTTGTAGCTCTGGTCCTAAAAGCAATAAAACAGTACAAACTTGTTGAATTAATGTTAAAGAAACAGGAGTATGAAAGCTGTTTATATGTATATAAATATTCTGTGTATATAAACATTAAAACAGTAAAATATACATTTTACTTTAAAAATTAAAAGTGTTGATTAAACCAGAATGGAATCCGCTGGACATGATGGTACATGCTTGTAATACCAGCACTCAGGAGGCTGAAGCAAAAAGATAGAGTTCGAGGATAGCTTGGGCTACACAGCAAGAACCCTGGGCTGGAGGTTAGAGCACTTGCTTCCTAGCATGTGCAGAGCTTTGGGTTCAGTTCTCAGTACAGCAGGAAAAAAAAATGTGCAGTAAAGCTTTGTACCCATGAGGTCAATTCAACCTCAGATAAAAAATATCTGGAAAAAATTATTTCTGCACTGACTATGTATGTATAAGGTGAGATCCTGTCTCATGAATTTGAAAAATGTATCTTGGCTAAAACAACTATGTAATTCAACTAATGTGTAAAAATATTTTTTATTTTGTATTATGACATAATAGCTAAGCTTTTATTTTCATAAAAATAATAAAATTCCCTTGATAGTTCACTGAATAAGCAACTTCAAAAATATAGATTAAATAACAACTAAAGATCTCTCATAGGAGTGTTTCAACAAATCCACTTTCTTGTCTGCCAAGTAGGACTGAAAAAAAGTTACCAAATAAGGGCTATGAGTAAGAGTAAAAATAAAATTAAATAAACTTCTTTTTAAAGAATTTAATTTACAGTACATTTTTAGTACCGACAGGTATATGGATACGAGAAGATTTTCACTAAGGAAAACCAATGAATGCTCAGGATACATAGACTTTAAACACAGCTGACAATAATGTGGAACTGACTGAGAGCTTCTCAGTGTCAACTGAGCTGCATAATGCCCATGCGAGAATTTTTTTTAACCACACTTTGGTCAAACCGTGTATAATAAACTTGCAAACAGGACAGGCTTACCGTATTAAAATTATAAAAATTAGATTTCCTTACAGTAAATAAAAACATAGTAACACCAACAGAGTTAATTGTACCATTCGTCACATAAGGAAAAATTCAAGCAAGATTTACTTGGCAATAGCACAGTAAAACTATCTAATAACAAAATTTGAGTTGGAAGCCTTGAATTTGGTTTGATAAAAATGACTTGAAAAGTATCCCTGTATGCAGACAAGATGATCCTATACTCAAAAACCTAAAAAAGTTCACGGAAAAATTCCTAGGCACCATAAACAGCTTAAATAATGTAGCAGGATATAAAATCAACTTACAAAAATCAGTAGCCTTTCTATACACCAACTATGAACAAACTGAGAAAGAATATATGAAAACAATTCCATTTACGATAGCCTCAAAAAAATCAAATACCTAGGAATAAACTCAACAAAGGATGTAAATGACTTCTACAAGGAGAACTACAAACTACTTAAGAAAGAGACTGAAGAAGACTACAGAAGGTGGAAAGATCTCCCCCATGCTCATGGATTGGCAGAATCAACATAGTAAAAATGGCTATACTACCAAAAGCAATCTACATGTACAACAGAATTCCCATAAAAATCCCAATCATATTCATCACAAAGACTGAAAAACCTACCCTAAAGTTTATTTGGAAACACAAAAGACAACAAATTTCCAAGGCAATACTCAGCAAAAGGAGCAATGCTGGAGGTATCATAATACTTGACTTCAAACTATATTACAGGGCCATAGCAATAAAAATAGAATGGTACTGGCACAAAAAAAAAGATATGAAGACCAGTGGAACAGAACAGAGGACCCAGATATGAATCCACAAAGCTATGCCCACCTTATTTTTTAAAAAGGTGCCAAAAACATACAATGGAGAAAAGATAGCCTCTTCAACAAATATTGCTGGGAAAAGTGGTTATGTGCCTGAAGAAAACTGAAACTAGACCCATGCATATCACCCTGTATTAGTATCAACTCAAAGTGGATTAAGGACCTTAATATCAGAGCCAAAACCCTGTAATTAGTACAGGAAAGAGCAGGAAATATTCTAAGAGGAACAGGTGTAGGCAAGGACTTCCTCAGTAGAACTCAAGCGGCCCAGCAACTAAGAGAAAGGACAGACAAATGAGACTACATGAAATGAAAAAGCTTCTGTACTACAAAAGAAATGGTCTCTAAACTAAAGAGACCACCCACAAAATGGGAGAAAATATTTGCTGGCTATACATCAGACACAGGATTGATAACCAGCATATACAGGGAGCTCAAAAAACTAAACTCCCCAAAAATCAATGAACCAATAAAGAAATGGGCAACCGCACTAAACAGAACTTTTTCAAAGGAAGAAGTCCAAATGGCCAAAACACATGAAAAAATGCTCACCATCCGTAGCCATAAAGGGAATTCAAATCAAAATCACACTAAGATTCCACCTCACTCCTGTTAGAATAACTATCACCAAGAACACCACCAACAACAAATGATGGTGAGGATGAGGAGAAAAAGGAACCCTCATACACTACTGGTGGGTATGTAAGCTAGTACAACCCCTCTGGAAAACAAAATGGAGGCTTCTTAAAAAACTAAACACAGATCTGCCATATGATCCAGCAATACCACTCCTACGGATATACCCAAAGGAATGCGACTCAGGTTATTACAAAGGCACCTGCATGCCCATGTTTACTGCAGCACTGTTCATAATAGCCAAGCTATGGAAACAGCCAAGATGTCCCACTATGGACAAATGGATTAAGGAAATGCAGTATTTACACACAATGGAATTTTATTCAGGCACAAAGAAGAATGAAATTTTGTCATTCACAAGTAAATGGATGGAACTGGAGAACAGTATCTTAAGTGAAGTTAGTCAGGCTCAGAAGGCCAAAAATCCCATGTTCTCCCTCGTATGTGGATTCCAGACCTAAACCAAATGCAGTAATATTACTGGACATGGGTCACACGCTGAAGAACAGAAAAAGGGAAGGATACCTAAAATTTGAGTGTGGTTAACACATACAATGTAGAGGAGAGAATATAGTAAACTTAAACTGGCGAGGCCACCATGGGAAGGGGCCTAGTGAGTAGTGAAGAGCTCTGGTGGAGATGAACTAATGTGGGTTGTCATACACATGTGCATGGAAGCAATGCTAGGAATCTGTCTTTACAGCTAGCAAAACTCTCTATTATCTCTTATGTTTTCAACAAAATCAGATAACCAGAGGGCGGAACAGGTTCTGTCTGGAAGCTGGGAGAGGAAGGACAAACAATGTTTACACATGTGAGTAAATGTAAAAATGACAAAAAAAAAGATTTGAATCTGAAAGCAATACAAACCAAGAGTCTCAGGCAGCTGTTGAAGTGAATTACTTGACAGCAGAAGGTCTTGGAGGTTTTCACATGCAGAAATTCCTTCTTCAACCATTTCAATATTATTTTTAGAAACATCCAAATATGTGAGCTGTTTTAGACTACCAATAAACTGTAAGTAAAAGCCAGAAAATGTAATTACCAAATAATTTATAAAGTTTAAGAAGTAAAAATACCAAATTTTAATTCCAATTAAAACATGAGAAAGAAGACTCAAATATTTTTAAATGCCGCTAGAATGTCCAGTTTTTAGAATTCCTACAAATTTAAGCCCAGCAGAGTGACAAAGGACATATATTTTAATTTGGGAACTTAACTACCCATTACCTCCTCGAGATAGCACAAATGGGGTTTATTGTGGCTTCTTTAGATGTGGTAATATATAATTTTGTTAGCTGGTAAGTCAGAAAGCTTATGGAAATTATCCTTAGTTCAGCAATTTCTTAGGCAAACTGAATTAGGATATAAATTCAGTTGCTAATACTACATAGGATACCATCTACAGTATTAAAATAGATTGTTTTACAAAAGTTATGGGAATTTCCAGATTTTAGTCAAGAAGGTACTCATAGTAAAAAGTGTAATTAAGTAACTATATTTTTAACGCATTAAAAGTAATTTAAAAGTGCATAATTCAAATATTGCAAAGGAAAGAGAGCAATAAGTAAAGCCACTTAAAATTTCCTATACATACCCCCGGAATAAAAGTCAGTCTATTACCATCCATCCAAAATTCTTTCAATCCACTTAGTTGCTCAAGTACTTCAGGCTAGTTAGGAGGGAGGAAAATCCAATTAATTTAATGAATGTCTTTTTCTGGCAAAAGAAGCCCTAGTTGGCAGAGTGGCTCAAGTGGTAGAGTGCCTTCTTTGTAAATGTGAGGCCCTGAGTTCAAACCCCAGTACCCCACCCGACCCCCACAAAAAAAAAAATATATATATATGCAAAAGGAAGTCCTTGAAATTTCTAAAGCAATCTTCAGTTTCAGGACATTAAATAAAGAAGAAAAGGTGAGAGGGAAGCACAGCCAAGATGTGAGTCATTCCATTGCACTATAGTCACTACAATATTATTATTAAAGGGAAATCACAGAAATTCCATGAAAGTAGACTACATAAAATTCATTTAAGCACTGGATTACACAATAGAATCAAATAAATGTATAACTAATAAAGAAAAAAAAACAGGATCTACTGCTTGGAAATGTAGAATAAAAAGATATTCTCATTCACTATAAATAAAAAGAGAATAAAGGTTTTTGGAATATCCCAAAGGTGTTTTCTGGTGATGTTATTAATAAAGAGAAAGGAAAAAAGGCATTTTTTTTTTTTCTGGGTGGTCCAGGGATGTGAACTCAGGACCACAGGCTTGCTAGGTAGGCAATCTACCACTTGAGCCACTCTGTCAGCAGCAATCTGTATCATGAATGTCCAATAATAAAGGCAACACAAGCAAACACATTTGCATGTGACAAGAGTATTCTGTTAAACTACTAGAAAATTCTATTTATATGGCTGAAAATTATTTGTAACATGGTGTTGAGAATTTTAATTAACTCATATGTTGTCATAAACCTTGGTAGTCAGGTAAAATTTGCTCTTTGGCACTGGGCCAAGTTTGAAGGTTTGAACGTCTCCTTTGAAGATATTTCTGTCAACTTAGGAAGTCATATGCAATCAATGGCCATGCAATAGCAAAAAGTACTGTCATCATATCTAGTACAATCTTCATATCTAGTCACAGTAACATGAGATACACATAAAAGTCATGTCATTCAAATGTACTGCTAACATATAAATACAGGTAAGAATTCTAAATGTAACTTAGATTAAAATAAATTTTCTTTTGTGCTTTACTGTTCTAATTCCATTAGTAAGTTTTAAAAAAATGTATAATGCTGAAAGACCAAATGTTGCAAAAATTGATGATTTTGAAAGTAACAATTTAGAATTTCTGCATATTTAATATGAAAGAGTTAACATGTATTTTAAAAGACAGATAAGGGTACAATAGATAATTGAGGAAACAACGCATGTACTTTTTCACAAAGAGTAAAAACTTCACAAACACAATGAACCCCATCTGAAATCATCTTCAGTTGAGACATAACGAAGACAATAAATTTGTATTTAAGAGAAAATATAAAGTATCTCAGAACACCATGTTACTCCACTGACCACAGCTGAAATGCATACTACACTACCCACAATATTCACAGGGCAATGCTGAAACATACTATACTAAGAAATGTTTGTAAATTATTTGAAGCTTGGTACTGGTGGCTCACACCTATAATCCAAGCTACTTGGGAGGCTGAGATCAGGAGGATCACAGTTCCAGGCCAGCCCAGGAAAACAGAAAGACTCCAGGTCAGTAGAAAACAGCTAGGCAGGTAGCATGTGCCTGTCATCCCAGCAATGGCAGGAAGCATAAAATAGGAGGACTGCAGTCCAGGCCAGCCTAGGCAAAAAGCAACACTCTATCTCCAAAATAACCAGAGCAAAAAAGGCTAGAGATGTGACTCAAGCCATAGAGTGTGTGCCTGGCAAGTGCAAAGACCTGACTTCAAACTCCAGTTCTCCGTCCCTCAAAAACAAGCAAACAAACAAAAAATACATATATTGAAAACCACCAGAATTCTGAACAGCAAACTTATACACATAAATTTTAAATTTTATTAATGATATCCAGGCTTGATGAATTCTTCAAAAAAAAAAAAACTGGCTTATTTTTTGAGTTATTTTTTAAAGCTAAAGACAAAAAAACTGCATACACTTTCCTTTTAGATTCCTGTCATAGTGCACTTAACATACATAAGACACAAACACAACTGATCATTCTCAATACAAACTTCAAAAAAAAATAGGTATTTTACACAGTGATTTTCTGTTTTGCTATTAAGTAAAACTAGACAAGTATCTTATCACTGAATAAATTCATAGCCCATACCTCAGGGAATAATTTTTGACAAGGAACTACATTACCTCGGCTGTAGTCCACACTGATACTTTTTCACTTATACTCTTAAATTTTCTGCTTATGCCAAAAAAAAATGAAACTTTTAAGTATCACTTGTATGGACATGTCATTAATTTCCTATTTTTATCTACACTTTTGCCAGATTTTCCTATGTGTCTGGTTAATTTTTCTATCTGTCTGAAAAGTTCAGGTTAAGAACTTTAATATCTTATATCTCAAAAATATACAGACTTCCATTCAATTTTTAAGAGAAATACTTTTATTTTCTCCTTTTTTCTTGATCAAAAATAAGACTTTTGGATAGTGAGAGATTGGTGAGAACTTACCACTTCTGTGAATTCATTACTTCCCAAATCCAGTCTTTCCAGCTGGGTCAGTCTATTCATGGTTCTAGTCACAATAGGTTAAGAAAGAATTAACTATATAAAAGTATCAGTTACATGGATGCTTTCAAATTTCATAGTTTAAAACATACTTATGTAATATATAAGCTTTCACATGTTGACAAGTAAAAATGTCGATTCTCTAAGAAAAATAAGATAATTAAGAAAAAATGAGTTAAGCTATCAATTATTCTCAATTTTATCTTCTCATCAATATTTTCATTCATATTATTAAGAAATAACTGCAAAAGATGTAAATCCACAAACCAGAGTAAGAATAATGAGCTTGCATTCTCACAGAATAAATTTTCAGAAAATAAATCAGTTAATGAATTAGACTACTTGCCATATACAGTCAGTACTGTAATTTCAAAAGGTCTTTTTTAGACTGCTTATATATTTATAAACCTTCAAGATAACTGTAACTCTGAAAACTAATTTTGAATACTAAAAATATTATCACATTGCTCATAAAATTTACAATAAAATTTTGTAAGGAGCACAAATAAAATAGATATTAATTAAACCGTAACAATGGGACGATTTATAAAAATAAAGCTAATAAATTTTAGAAAAGGATAAAAAAATGAAAAGCAGTACACTGGAAAAACTGAGTAATAGATGACATTCTAGAAAAGTTATGTTTTAAAACAGATTTAGGAAAATGTGAATACAGGTATGTAATAAAAAGGGGGACAACAACAAAGTATCTACCTCAGTTCTGTTGCTAATAGCAAGTTTAATTCTACTTATATACTTCAGAAATCTCATAAATAAAATTTTATTTTAGAATATCATTTAACTTCCTAATTCAAGGGGAAAGTACATACAATATTCCTCAAATTTCCTCCCTTTCATTTATAAAATTCATTTGTACTAACTCATTTTACCCTCATTCCTGTCTCACAGGAAGAGTACAGTATTTTGAATTCTTAGCATGATGCCCTCCAGAATGTTTTAAAAGATATTAACTTTCACATATTTATGTAGGTAAAATAACAGGTCTTTCCTGTTTCAATTTTTGATCAAAAAATCTACCGACACATAACCTGAATGCAAATGACCTTCCTAACATTTAAAATTGTGACCTCTATATTTATAGTTTGTGAGGACTTAAAAAAGTCTTAATCATTTATCTTAAAAAGAAAGAATGAATTATATGTTCAGGAAAAGCCCTGAGTTCAAACCCCAGTCCTGCCAAAAAAAAAAAGAAAAAAAGAAAAAAATTAAAGAATTATATTTAAAAAGAATTATATTTGCAAATTCATTGATATAGCCTCATGTGAATTTCTAAAAGGAGTTAAAAAAAAAATCCATGAATTTAGCACAAGGCCCTGAGTTCAAACCCCCAGCACCACCAAATAAATAAACAAAAAGTCAGATTTTGTCTCTATGTTATCAGATACTACAGTTATGATTTTGAATGTCGCCCAAAGTCTGCATATTGAAGGCTTGGTCCCCAGTCTGTGGCACAGCTGGGAGGTGGTAAAACCTTTAGGAAATAGGGCTAAATGGAAATGAGGTCATTGAGGCTATGCCACTGAAGGGGCTGTTGGGACCTTGGCCCCTTCCTATTTTTCTCTTTGTTTCCCAGAAGCCATGAGGTGAGCATCTTTGTTTTACCATGTTCTACCCACCATGATGTGCTGCTTCTCTATGGGCCCCAAAGCCACAGGGTCAACCAATCATGACAGAAACTTCTAAAACTAAGGGCCAAAATAAACCTTTTCCTCTGTATAAATTGATTAACTCAGATAGTTTGTCAGAGTGACTGAAATTTGACTAACATACCACATTAGTTACAGGCTTAGCTATTATAGTAAATAATTTATATGTTTATTCAAATCTCTTAGAAATCAGTCAAGTTCTGAGCTAAGTCAAAACTGGTAAAATATACAGACCTTAAATTTTAAGATGGGTTATTCTCACTTAATATATACTCACAACCACCACTATAAAGTTCATTCCTGTACTAAATACTCAGTTCCTCAGCTAAAACATACCACCATTTGGGAATGAAAAGTAGAAATGGTCTCTGTCCTCAAAGACTTACAATCACCTGGGGTAGAGGGGTAAACATGTACACACATGCATATAGGTGTAAACATTAGTCAGGGAAGAATAAAGTGACATATGTAAAAGTAGATACATTTAAATTATGTGACAAGTACCATAAAAGATACAAATACAATGCTACAGGAGCTGAGTAAACAAAACTACTAATTCCTGGGGTAACCGAAAATGTTTTATTCCTCAAGAAGTGACATTAAGTCTTCATGTTCCAATTTTACCAAGCTGGAAAATTTTTAATATAAAAGGCAAAACAGCAAATATTTTAGGCTCTGTAAACCATATGTGGTCAGTGCTATTCACCTCTAGCACTGAAGAGCAAAAGCAGCCATAAACAGTATGTAAATGTGAGCGTAGCTGTGTTCAACTGAAACTTTATTTACAAATACAGAGAGCAGGCCATTATCTAATCAGAGATGAGTCTGCCAACCTCTAAACTATAAACAATATAGCAATGTATCCAAGATGTTCCAAAGATGTATGTTCAATAAATGGCCAAGGACTACAATACATTTTGAGTTTGTTTTAAATAGTTTTATTTTCTTCTTTGCTCTTGAACTGCCACCACTCCCTATCCCCACCCCAGTGCTGGGGATTGAACCTAGGGCCTTGAGCATACTAGGTGAGCACTGTGAAACTGAGCTACATTACATCCCCAGCTGTGCCACCTCTCTTGATATTAGCTTTCCATTAGAGGACCAATCACCTCATTTATTTATGATAGACTAGAAAAGCAGATAATCAAGTTGTATAGTTATAAGTTTTCACACAGATCTTATGAATCTAATAGGTGATATGTATGAGTTCTGAAATGAATCTGGGACCTCTATTTGAGAATTAGGTTGGTTTTATATTCTGATTATTTTTACTTTTGTGTCACATAAAAAGACCGTGTTTCAGAGAGCTAGTGTCACGTAAAAAGACTATGTTTCAGAGCGCTATGAAATCATTATGATCATAATACCATGGTAAACAATACCACATACATTTTTATATTTAACATCAAGAATTAAAATGTGATGACCATAAATCTAAGTATTTTAAAATACCTTGCACTAACATTTTAAGATAATAAAATTCTAAGTCTGTAGGAAGGTGAATATTGTGGAAATATTATATATTCATGTATGAAAATGGAAAAAAATGACACCTGTTGAAACTACTCTGAGAATTTTGGGAAGGGGGGGATAAATGAGAATGATGGAGGGAGTGAATTTAACTAAGCTCTATTGTAAGCACTTTTGTAAATGTCACAATGTACCCCCAGCACAACAATAATATTAAAAATAAATAAATAAAAAGAGATCTTTTGTTTAAAAAAAAAATCTAACCCACATACAATGTTACATACTTGTAATTCCAGCACTCAGGAGGCAGAAGCAGGAGGATTTCAAGTTCGAGCCAACCTGGGCTACAAAGCAAGCAACCCTGTCTCAAAAACCAAAACAAAATTCTCTAACCTTTTTAGGGGCTAAAGGATTAAAAATTCTAAAATGAATTTTAGAAGGATAGCACCTTTACTTACTTAGGCAACATTTTCAACTGGTTTTCTCTAAGTTCTAATATCTGGAGTTTAGTTAACCTGCATAACAAAGAACAAATCAAGTATACATGACAAGGAATTTAACAAATTAATATCATTCTAAAGTTTTAAAGCACCCAAAATTAATTCCATAATTACTATGTGAAGAGTAATGTATTAAATATTACAGAGGAATAAAAAATATAAAGGAAGAATAGACTACTTCTGCTCCTCAAAATTCTGGTGGGGGAAAAAAGGTAAGCATTTGTAGACATTTTCAAAGGGACAAAGAGATTGTCCCTAAGTACTAATACAAGAGTATATTTCACATCTTTCACTAAAAACATTCACAAATACTACCTACTACTGCAGATTGTAGAACAATAATAATACAACTCTAGAGTACAGCTCTGAGAAAAAATAAATAGGAGGACATAAGGGACAAGGAGAAGAGGAACACTTCTGGCTCTTCAGTGATGAGCACTTTGCTATGAAATACAGGGGTACAAGCAGATTGAGTGATGCAAATGGCAGATACAGAAGAGAAATCTAACAAGTATACTAATTATTTTAAGCAAATGATGGCTATAAAATTAATGCATACTGCACCAGAGGCCCAGTGGTAGAGCACCTGTCTAGCAAGCATAAGGTCCTCAGTTCAAGTCCCAAAAGACATCATTTGCTAGCCCTTTTTCTAGTAATTAACTTAAATTCAGTAATAACTTGATAACTATTATTCATTCATTTGTGTTTCTAAAAATTACTCAGAGACTTAGGGCAAAGTGCAGACAGATGAGACAGATCCCAGAAACAGGTTCTCTTAAGACTTTTGATTCCAATGAGGAAGATAGCAAAATCATTTTAGAAAGTGATAAAACTAAAGGATACAACATTCAGTATTTCAAATACACAGGTATTACTTCCATTAAAAACCTTCTGGCTTAAAATTGGAGAACATGTGGGCAGAACATGTCCTGCTGTGGGGGCGGGGCGGGGCTGGTACCAGTGAGATGGGGGAGGATGTGGGAAAAGGGTGCAGGAGCGTGATATGGTACAAATACTGTGTACACACGTATGTAAATGGAAAAATGTTACCTGTTGAAACTATTCCAGGAATGGAGGAATGGAGAGATAAAGGAGAATGGTGGATGGAGTTGAATTGAAGTATATTTGATATATTATAAGAACCTTTGTAGATGCCACAATGTACCCCCTCACCCAGCACAACAACAGCAACAATAATAATAATAATAATGATGATGAAAAAAACAACTTCTGGTTTTGCCTCCTTAAAAACCAATTTGTAATTTTTTTTTTAAACTCTGCTTATCGTTTACTTGGGAAAATAAATTCAAAGTGAAAATAAAAAGATCCAAAGTAACTAAGACTCATACTGCTATGAAATAATTACAAATTAAAAGCCTATGAAATTGTAATTAATACTGTTAACTAAAGCAGTTTTGTAAATTTTACAAAAAATAATAATAAATGACTAAAAGAAATTATAATTTACCTGCCAAAATTAGCTGGCAAGAATTCAAGGAAAGCATCATTCAGATATAACTGGGTTAGATTTAACAGCTGAGAAAATCCATCAGGGAGCCTGTATAAAATATAATAGAATTTAAATTAAGCTCACACTTAGAATTTCAAGTCTTTTACCAAAAGCCCTCTAAGAACTTAAGTAATAAAGTCACTTCTCAATAGGTAATTGTCACCTTTTTACTTTTTATTAAGGACCCTCAAATTCAGATTTACCTTATGTAATAAACTTACCTGTTCAAATGTAACTTCACCTCTTTGTAGAAAGGAAATGAGATAATGTCTTAGTAACATGTAATATGCACAAAGTAGTCAGCTAAGAATGAGCCTGGACACATAGAAATATATGTAGATGTAATGTTGAAATTAGCAGGCACCCTTCAAATTTACTTATTCATATCAATCAAAGGACTACATAAAGAATTTCTTAACCTTTTGACATTTTGAGCTGAATAATTATTTGTTGTGAGGAATCTATGTTGTGCACTGTAGGATATTTAGCTACAACACTGGCACCTACCAACTAGATGCCAGCAGTATGAGTGCACACACTCACTCACATATACTCTCGCTGTAAAAACCAAAAATGTTTCCAAAATTGTCAAATATCCCCATGGATGAAACAGCCTCCAGCTGAGAGCCACTGGTTTAGATTATTTTCAGTTCCAACATTTGGTCTCTAAATAATTAAGACTATAGAATTTTATAATAAGAAAATAAAAAATAATATAAAAATTAGATATTTTTAGGCCATGTAAGAATCTATTTATATTAGCTTTACTTCTATTTTTTCATACTCTTAAACAAGTTACAGGGGTAGAATTTGATATTAGAAAAATATTTCAAATGAAGAGAATATACTTCATTTTTGTGTATTTGTCATAGATTTCAACAAATATAAAATCCTCATGCAGTAAGATATATCAGGACTTTGTTGGAGTGGCTCAAGTGGTAGAGCACCTGCCTAGCAAGCAAGAGGCCCTAAGTTCAAATCCCAGTACTGCCAAAAAAAAACAAACAAATAAACAAAAAAAAGAACTACGTATTATAGTATGTGAAAGATGGTTTCAACTTTTAACTTAGCTGTATTAAGCTATGCTTCACTCTATTCATCTTCAGCTCTGCCATTCCATTTTTACAAACTGAACAACCTTGGTGCTAAGAAAACTTTGTCTACAGCCATTATCAACCACAGAAGATCATCTGGTTCTTTCTTTTCATTTCCTTCCTAACCTTTCAGTTTCTTTTACCATTTTCAAAAGCTTGAATGTGCCATATCTCTGATTTAAAGATTACAATATGGTACAAGTAACAGAAGGAAATCTAGCAAACTCTAGCCTCATTTATTACATGAACTGTGTGTGAGATCTGAAACAAAAACACTTGCATTGTCCTTTTCAGCTTCAATTTTACATCTGTAATATGTGGGGTTAGAAAAATTATTAACAGGTTTTTTTTTTAATTCTAAAACTGAATTGGTTAGCTTTAACATTGATACAACTTTTTCATTAAAATATGTAAAGCAATATTGCTATTGCTTCATAATTTTTTTTCCAAAAAGTAAATTATAATTCAACTGAGAAGACTTACTTAGAAATAGGGTTTACACTGGCCTCCACAACTGTCAAAACTTTACAATTCTTAATATTTTCTGGAAACTCTTGTATTCCTAGAAAACAGAGCCAAAGATATGAATAATGATTAGATAATGTAGATTCAGAAAGCAGTTTACTAACTAAGCAGGAACTAGATAAAGGACACCACTAATGCAAATCAAAGAGAACCACCTCCACAACAATTTCTCCTTGCAATTTCATCTTTCCTTCAGTGACCTCTTAAATTACTGCTCTTCTTTTCCTTCTCTTAGTGCTTCTGAAAATTAGTACCTTCTCTATAGTGAAATGGGATGGTGATAAGGACACAAAATACAGAACACTCAACATTCTATTTCTCTCACATAAAGGGAATAATTGCTTTTTAAATGCTGGCCTTCAGATTAAGCTGGCCCTAACATACAGAAAACAACGAAGCTGAAAACAAAGCTGCACTAGAAGAGGTGGAAAATCTGTATCAGCTATGACTTCAGATGTGCCTGAAAACATACCATCTACTCACAAAATAATAAAATGAAACATTTTCTCTTTTCTGCATGTAGCTTCCCAATTTTTCTATCTTTTACCAGATTCCTCTCTTTTTCTCAACCTTTTTCCTTCATGTGACCCAGTGCTATGTTCACAATATAACTGTGTAAGGAATGTAGTAATTTCTGCACTTTATGATGTATATATTCAAGAGTTCTACTAGACCAGTACTGTTCAAACCAACTGAGGTGGAGGATTAACTTTTTAAAAATTTACAATCTGTTACAGATTTTATGTTTAAAAAATACCACATAATTATTGTAACAATATCAAATTTTGGTACAAGATTTTAAGCACAAGCTCATTTCCTCAACTTACTACTGCAAAAAATACAGTAACAAGTAATTTACTAGCACCACTCCATGGATCAACTTTAAGTAGCACTGCTCTCACCTAGACTAAAGGAATGCTAACCAACTTTTAAAACAGCGCACACACACACACACACACACACACACACACACACACACACAAAACCCAAAACCAAAGGTCTCACCACAAAGATGCCAAAATTAGTGGGTTAAAAGTACAAAAAAGATATTAATACAGTCTCAAAGATTCTTCCCACAAGATACTTACAAATTATGAGAAAAAAATTAACTGAACCTGCCAAGTACCACTTTAACAAAATGCTTCAAAGTTAGCACCATCACATGGCAACTAAAAAAGCATGCAGTATCTCTTCAGTCATATACTTGCCAAAAACACAAAACCTAAATTTATTCATACACGAGCACCAAACAAACCCATATTGAAAGAACTTCTGTTAAAGAAATGGCCAGTACTCTTCAAAACTATCAAGAACCAAACAAAAACAGGGGGACTACTTACTTGGGAGAGAAGATTTAAGAGAACTAACAACTAAATGCAACATGAAAATAACAAGTACTGGCGAGGATATGAAAAAGTTGGGAACTGTGTACATACATTGCTTTTAGAAACATAGAATGATTTAGCCATGGTGGAAAACAGCTCGATGGTTCCTCAAAACTTTAAATACAGAATACCCTATGACCCACTATTGGGTATATACCTAAGAAAATTTAAAACGTTCACAAACAAAAACTTTATGCTGATAATATAATTATTAAGAATAGTTCAAAATAGAAATAATCCAAATGGCTATCAACAAATGAATGAATAAACAGAATGAATAAGCAAAATGTAGTGTATCCACAATATGGAGTATCAGTACACAGTACAACATGGATGAATACTAAAAATGTTATGCTAAGAGAAAGGAACCAGTCACAAAAGGCCACCAAATGGCCTTTTGTATTGTATTTAGAATTGTATGGTTCCATTTATGAGAAACATCCAGAATAAACAAATCCTTACAGACACAAAAAATGGTTACCAGGGGTTGACAGAGGCCAGAATGTTGAGTGACTGCTTAATGGGTGCAGGGAGATTCCTACTACAGAATGTATTGGCTTTTTTAATCTTTTCATCTATTTCCAACATCTAGAAAAATGCTTGTCAGGATAAATGCAGGTTGATCATCCCTTTTCTGAAATGTATGGGGCCAGAACTGTTTGGGATTTCACTTTTTTTTTTAAATTTTGGAATATTTGCATATATATATATATATATATACACATGAGATATGCTGGAAGGCGACTTGAATCTAAATATGAAATTCATTTATGTCTCAGATAATCATGTATATGAAGTTACTAAGTAGTAACTTTAGACAATATTTTAAATAATTTTGCATGCTTTGACTGCAATCTATTGAGGTTAAGAATGGAATTTTCCACCTGTGGTGTTACACCAATGCTCAAAAAAAAAAATCAGAGTTGGGAGCACTTCAGATTTTGATTTTCTTATTAGTGATGTTTAACTTGTGTTAAAAATATTGTATTTATTTGCGAGAAAAGTATTTGTAAGTCTAGTATTTAGTAGAAATTAATGCTATCATCTTCCACAAATACACACTCCATATTTTTCATTAAATTTTAAAATACTTTATTCCATAACATGTGGTTAATAAAAAGTAAAGTGAAATTACTAACTTTGTGTCATCATTGGCTTTTAGATATATAATAGTTTTGCCCTAGGCAAATAATTTTTAAATACTTATCAATTTTCTGTTTTTGCAAATTGCTAGCAACATATTTGCTTTGACTGTATTCCTATCATCATGTACTTCTGGGCTCCAAAATCTTTATTCCAGTTTTCATCACTTCCTTAACTCAACCCAAGAAGTTTCAAATGCCCACTAGGTTTTGTTTGGGTACCACAAACTTAACATATCTCTATACTCTGTAACAAATACGCTAATACCCTCAACAAGTATGCACCAAACGCACATCAAGTGCCAGACACGATGCTATGAAGTATAAATACTAGGACACTGTCCTCTGTGGAAAGTTAAAGTGTAGAAAGGAAAACAGTATTTCCATCATATTGGTTTCTTCTTATCCCAGCAGTGTTCTTTCTCAAAATCTTTTGTACCTTTATTTTATTCTTTAGATCTGTTAATGTTGAGGTACAACCAGGGCTCTTTGGGCTTTTTCTTTATACACTCATACCCTTCACGAACACAAATAATCTCAGTATTTACATATTATCTATATGGTGACCATGCCTAAATATGTGTCTCCTGCACAGCTTTTTTTGAATGAACTCCGCACCCATATGATCTGGACATGAGCTAGATATCTCAAAAAACTGATTTGTTCCATTAAAAATTGTAACTGCCACAGATTTCTCTATCTTATGTTTATGGCAATCTTGTCCTTCCAGTTGCATGATAAAAATCAATGAGGTCATCCTTGCTTTTCTCTCACATTTACATTCAATCCATCATGAAATGCTGTTGATTCCACCTTCAAGTATATCCACCACCTGTCCATATCTCACTGTTTCTACCACTATCATCTCAAATGACTGAAACAGCATCTGAATGGGTTGATTTTCACACATGCACCCAGACTTTTTCTAAACTTAAACATCAAAGCATATATGAATGCCTATAAGGCTGCTCCTCATTCTTATCACTCTCCTATCTTGCTCACTCTGTTTTGGTTACCCTGACCATGTTCTTCACACATGCATACCTTCTAAAATTTTACACTAGCTGTTCCCTCTTTTAGGTACACATTTACCTCAGCTATCTATGTAGTAAACTTCCTCAAGTTCTTAAGTCCTTTACTCAAAGGGACTTACCCTTAGCACTAGTGTTAGCTAGTCTCAAAAATGGCTCATTTTGCCCTTAAAAAGTACATAGCATTGAATTCTATCACAACCTACTACTTTTTTTGGTGGTACTTGGGATTGAGCTCCACAACCTACTTCTTAATTTTCTAATGATTCCAACTATCTTTTTCATTCTGATATGACTTCAATAGTGTTCCTTCTCTCATCTAATAAATACCTTAACCAATTACAGCTTTAACCTTGCTGTAATCTGTCTTTCCTGTAGATCATATTTAAGATACTCACTTATAGAACTACCCCTGCTCTCAAGCATCGCATCTAGAATAAACCCTCACTTCTTAAATCTTCCCCTAAATTACCAAACAAATGCCCAAATCCTGTCAGTCTTTTTAAAAACATACTCTGAGATTCCCATGAATCATCATGGATGGAGGTGAGTTCCCTAGGTCTTTGTCTAGAGGGAATCAGCACCTCCAATGTCCTATTGTTGAACTGAAATTAATGGTAGCCCTTCAATGTTTTTGCACTATAAAGGCTATTAACAAATAATAACAGAATAAAACATTGAGTCCCAGTCAGGAACTCAAAACTAGGAATATGCAAAACTAGGAATTGCAAACATAAACGATTATTAAGTTTACAAATGATAGATATATGACTTGGAGGAGGTATTGGAGGAGGTATAGCAGAGTAAGTGGTAAGGCCTATGTTAAGGTGCAGTGAGTATACCCCAGTAACAGCCTGCTGTTTTATTAAACTGCTTGGCAGTGACCATTGGTAACCATTCTTAATTTTAAATTCCACATCAGTTTGAAACATGGCTTCCTTCTATCATTATTTTATACTGACATACTAAAACAGCTGAGCTCGTCAAGGCATGTTAAGACATGCCTGTATAGTCCCAGTACTTGAGAGGCAGAGCAAGGAGGATAGTGAATTCAAAGCCAGCCTGGACTAAACAGCAAGCACAAGGCCAGCCTGGACTACACTTGCCTCAAAACACACACACATATACAGTCAAACTCCAAAAACGTTCACTATAAACCAAAGTAGTAATTTGAGAAATCTAAAACACACAAACAAAATACAGTGACTTCCCTAGCAACCTGTTTTACTTTTTGTGTGTGTGTGTGTGTGGTAGTGGGGCTTGAACTCGAACTCAGGGCCTTCACCTTGAGCCACTCCACCAGCCCAATTTTTTATGATGGGTTTTTTGAGATAGGGTCTCTTGAAGTACTTGCCCAAGCTGGCTTCGAACTGCAATCTTCCTAACCTAATCTTGACCTCCTGAGTAGCTAGGATTACAGTCATGAGTCACAACAGGCGCCAGCTTGTTTTACTCTCTTAATCAATTTAACTTCTTTTT